CAAATTATCGTTGACGTGAAAATATGCTCGCAGTTTATCAAAACGATTACGTGACATGATATCAGCTATCGTATTATATCGCGTTTCTTCTGCCCAATACATTCTATACGAAGGAACACGAACAATTCCACTCAATACATATATGCCTAAGAACTGCTCTATCTCTGCTGCATTTGCATATTTTTACTGTCTTTTTGCACAAAACACAAGTTTGTCTGCTCAGCAAAATTTTGAATGTCACAAAACATGTTAAAATATTGGAAAGGCGTATAAATATTTTCATCTACCGAAAAATTACCACTGTATTCGCTATTTACATCAATTAAATTGTTGTCTGTCCAAGTGGGTTTTTTATGCTTTTTTTTTCTTGGCACGACTTGTCTGTGGCTCTTCTTTAATTTCTTCAACAGTTTTTTCTTCCATATTCTCTATAACTTGGGTAGTTAAGCTATCTTCAACAATATTTTCCAATAATTCTTCTATTTCATTTGAAATTTACAATGAATTGATGATCGTTGTTTCAATGCAGCGTCATCTAGTAGGAAGGTGAGGCAACGCAATACCGTTCGCCAAATCGACATAAGTAGTTTCCTTTGTCGCTAAAGCAGAAAACTATGATCCCAAATGGGATCATCTGATTGGAAAGGGTCAAATAATTTGAATTATAATAACGCTGTTCTTTCCGTCTTAAGACAAATTTAAGTTATTTTAAAAGTAGTTTCTTACATGCTTTAAACCACAATTATTATAACCACAACGTTAGGCTCAGAGTTAATAACTACATCAAACTGCCCCGTTTGGAGCAGATCTGCCACACCAAACAAGTTGATACTGCGCTAAATGAGACGTGCAGGATAGTAACGGGGTGCATGAAACCACGCCACTTCAAATCTATATAGAGCAGCGGATTTTGCAGAACCCTCAACACGCAGAGGCGCTGCAGAACACATAGAGAAAATTAAACAGATCGCGGACGATCGGCATGCCCTATACAAAGCTCGAACACCACGAAAGCACTAAAATCTAGGAAAAGCTTCCTTGAAACAGTGTAGGATGAACGCCTGAGTATTTTCCACTTCCCCAGGTTCAATGGACCGGCCAGACCCTAGACTTTAAAACGTGGAAAACTTGAATAGGATAAGAACGGGGGTTGCTACAGTAATACAGTAAAATCAAACATGGCAAAATGGGAAAAAATAGACCAAGATGATGTGAACAGTGACTGTGGAGAAACACAGAATATGGAACATCTTCTTACCAGAAACTGTCCTCATAGATGTACCCTTGAGGATTTGTGGCTCGCCAACAAAAATGGAACGATGGAACCGACGTAGCCCGATACTGGGCCGAAATTTTATGAATGACATTTATGAGTTAAAAGAAAAATAGTTCAAATAAAAATTGTAGATTGTAAATGTGCTTTAATTTACGAGTTTCTTACTTACGATTCATAAAGGATTCACTAAGATAGTTACAAAAAACCCTTAATTTTGCAGTTATTTATAAATGTTAATAACTTTGTTTTTTGCATAATGCCCTGTAATATAACTACTTAAAATTATGGCAGTTATTAAAGTGGGCTAAATTTCAAATCGGTTATTGAATTTTTTTAATCCCAAAGAGTGTGTATTTAAACTACTGTCCTTATCCAAACACTCACTCTCAGAGGTATTCTGTTAATCGACATCCGTTTTATAAGGGAACATTTTTAAGGTATTTTAAAAAAATACAACATTTTATTAAATTTATTATTAAATAAAAGTTTGAAAAAGGACTGACTTTTTAGATTTTAAAAATAATAACTTTGACATTTTTCATGTCACACGCTTGCTAGTAGGCTTAATGAAAAACTGCTAAAAAGCACACATTCCAAACCAAACACAACCTTCGATCACTAATAGAAAACAAGATAACATTTTTTTTCTAAACATCATATTTCTATTGTTTATTAACATTTAGAGCTGAGTACTGAACAAATTCTAAAAGAAGATCTAAACTTTATTATCCCTTTTATAAATGGTATATACCGAGAAGAAGTAAAAAGTTATAACCCGTTAAAATGATGGTACTCGTAAAATACCGCCACAACAAAGTGGGGAGGGGGGTGAATGAACTATGAATATGAATATGATGAATATGAATATGATTTATGCTTATTAGCTACTTATCTTCATTAATGCAATTATAATAAAATGAAATATTTTTTGACCGAAAAAACTATAAAATTAAATAAAAGAAATAAATCTATTTTAATAATTTACAATTATTATTAACTATATATTTATTTAAATAATATACACGTATTAATCAAATTTGAATATTTCTTACGAAATAAAGTAAAGTAATAACTTTTTTATGCAATCAATTTATTTTTTCGGGATTTTCCGACAGGCCAAAATAGCACAATTCTTATTATTTTGTTGACCTACACCAGTTTAAAAAAAAAGAAGGTTCTACGTGCGATAGAAGCCAAGATATTACAAACTTTGCCAGAGTGCTTTAATTTGAAGTTCCACTCAAAAAAATGGAGCTCGGACATTTCTCCCCTTCACTTTTCCGTGGCGGCATTTTTAAATGCCATTCATAAATTGCATCGAAAAATATAGATGTTTATTTAGAATATTCTTATATACTAAAACGCTAAGCCCTTTCTTGTCCACACTTTACTCAAAAACCATATTAGATAATTAGATCTTATATACTAAAACGCTAAGCCCTTTTCTTGTCCACCACTTTACTCAAAAACCATATTAGATAATTAAATCCTATGTACTAAAACGCTAAGCCCTTTTCTTGTCCACCACTTTACTCAAAAACCATATTAGATAATTAAAATATTTTTTCGGAATATTATTAGTATTACGTATGAGATTGTCAAGATATACTTTTGGTACAAAAATTCACTTCCGGTTTTGAGATGACCGGAAGTTAAAATTTACTTTAAGTTTTAGACCCCACAATGTATATATGGATCGAAAGGTCTCGTCGAGACGAATCTAAATATGTACTTCCGGTTGCGATCCGACACCGGAAGTGACTCCGGTTTCGTTTTTATTAAAAAGTAAAAAGTAAAAGTTTACATAACTCCCGGTGCCAAGCAAAAGTTTTCAGAAAATGGAGACATTGTAACAAAAAACATTGTTTTCGACGAAATATTTCGTGATATTTAATACACTTTTTACTTGCATTATTATTGATGAATGTTATGTATATTCTTGCTTATATTGTTTGTATTGATCTCTTAATTTTTCTCGCAAAATAAAAATTTCATTTAAAAAACTCGATGTCGAGTTGGTCCGCTAGTATGAATTGTAAGCTCTTAATGTTAATAAACAATGGAAGTGATTTTAAGAATAAAATGCTATCTTGGTTTCTATTAACAAATAGCAAATTTAATAAAATGTAGTTTTTTTAATATGCCCTAAAACTGAAGTTTCAATCGATTGTAATTTACAAAATACCTGTAGACTTACAGTTGTTTAAATAATAGCTCTTCGGGATAAACAAATTGAATAACTCATTAACTATTTGCTCTATCTGGATGAATTTAGCACACTTTGATAACTCATTCAATGCCATAATTTCAAGTAGCTATATTACATGTCATTATGTAAAATCAAAGTTATTAACATTTATAAATTACTGCAAAAATAATTGTTTTTGCCATTATCTCGGTCAATTGTTTATGTATTTTAATTTGGATACTCTCAAAATTACATAAGTTTTTATGGTCTACAACTTTTATTTGAACCAATTTAGTTTAAAATGTATAAGAAACGTTTTATAGTCAAAAAATATTTTTTTCACTTTTTAAATAAAAAAAAAAACAAGCAAAACCAGCTGTACGTCTTCACCTATTTCTGATCAACTACCCTTTATATAGCTTTTAGAACAAATATCTGCAAGATTTTTACGCGCAATCAGTGATTTTTTCACACTTTTTCACATTAGGCTGGTCTACCCCAGTCAAAAATAGCTAAAAAAATCTTATACAGGTATTTAAAGTTTCTAAAAGGTATATGAGGGGTAGCTGATGACAATTGTGTTGAGACAAATTTTGCTTTGTTTTGTACTAAACAATCGTAAAAAGTCGCTGGCCAGTTCATACGGATAATCTCGACATCTTCTAAGGATTCATTGACGATTCTTAGCATCGTAAGCATACACCTTATCGTCCATAAAATAAAACTAGCAAATGAATGGCGCAAAAATTTACCACATGCTAATCTAAAATGGTTGTTATATACTTCTTCCTGTCATAAAACCTTTATCCTCAAAAACTAAGTCAGTACGGTTATCAAAACTTATACTAATCCAAATAATACCTGAGCCTCCTCGATAGGTTATTCTGTCGGAAACATTGCATTTGGCAAATTGTCCACATTGTCTTGTCCACAAGCAAAACCTGGACTCATCGAAGAACAAAACATTACTCCAATTTTCGTAGTTTTCTGCAAAAGCAAGTCGAGCTCTCTATGTTCCACGGATAGTTGTGGACATAGGGCTGGTTTTCTGGATAAAGAATCCGCTTTATGAAGTTGTCGACGAACTTCTTAATATTTAATTCCTCATTTCGGACTTGGTTCAGGCGGTTTGCCAGATCAATGGAAGTGATATATTTCTTAAACACGAAGAAATGAAAAATCGATAAATTGGTTAAAAGCAATAACCAACCTTCCAATAATTGTTATGGAAATTTTGACTGCTAAAAATGCTGTTTTAGAGGTAGAAGCAGGAATTTCTGCAATATTGGTTTCCAATCATGATGCTAGAGAACTTAATACTACTCTACCGGCTTCGATAAGATCTCTTTTTAAGATAAATTTTTTTTTGTCTAAATTTAGAAATAGTATTTGGATATTTCATGTCTTGGAATTTTGTATATATATATATATATATATATATATATATATAATATATATATATATATATATGGTATATTGGCGTATAAGTGTATATACATTCATTTTACTAATATTTAAAACATTACTTTTAATTACCTGTAAGGGCCATAATGTTATCCAATTCCAGTTTAAGGATCTCTAGGATTTTTTTGCCTCCTTTTTCTCCATCATTAGTTAAACCCCAAATAATAGGTCTTCCGACGAACACCATCTTGGCACCCATAGCTAAGGCTTTAAAAATATCAGTTCCGTCTCTGATTCCTCCGTCCATATAGACATCTACACGGCTACCAACTGCTTGAACTATTTCTGGTAGAACGTCAATCTAGAAATAAGCAACATAAAATTGTCCACAAAAAGTAGAACCCATCTTCTTCCGAGACACAATTATATTTTTATGAACTGAACAAGTTTATATTATATTATTAGGGTGCTGATCATCGGCTAACATAGGCTGTTATTGTATAAAATTCGAATGAAATACACAATAATGATAAAAGTAAAAAATCATAATTCAACCCAAAGATAAAAATCGAAAGTATTGAGGGCCCGTCAACAAGATATATGTACCAAAAGAGTAATAGAAAGAAGCAAAAACACATATATTTGTATCGCAAAAAGTGAAAGAGTCGAAATAGCGACGGAGATAAATTAACTAACAGACCCGTCACATACAAAATAATATACAGGTTGACTAGACAAATAATCGTTAGAACCACAAAACACCAAAAATTGCCACAAACAAAGAAGTATATATAACGAGTAACAATAATTGCAGAAAACTTGTAAAAGGCCGAAAAGTAGAAAAGCTACAGGTAAAGAGTGGATATCACATCAAATATTGATGTGCAGCAATGACGAAATAACTAACAGCACTAGTTATAAAATTATAACTAGCACAAAATTATAAAACATGAATAGTTCAGATAGCCAAGCGTGCTAGGCGGACGAATCGAATTCACTTTAATGTGAATGATCGGGTGGTGCATGGTTCATACCCCAGTCACAAAACAAAAGGCTAACGTGGTAGTTCAAAATTCTAAATGAATCTGCTACTTAGACTAGAGTACGCTAGGTGTATCGGATCGACCAGATATAAAAATTTAAAAAGAGGAGGAACACATACACCGAAAAAAGAATTGAAAATCGAAAAATGACATATTAGAAAAGCTCCAAAGTCATGTGATTCAAGAAGAAACAAGAAAGTTTTATCACTAAATAAATATGAATAAAAAACTATTCAAGACGAGAGTCAACCTCTTTAATGATTAGGATTGATTTCAACTTGCTTATCAACAAAGAGGATATCCTGTTACGATGGAAAAACACTTTCGAGAGTTGCTGGAAGGGGAACCAACTAACAACATAGAACTGGAATACCGAAATGAGGAATTTGTAGAACTCCCTTGGTAGCAGAAGTGAAAATATCTATCAAGAAAACTAACAAACCACAAATCCATAGGTAGTGATGGCATTTCAGCAGAGTCATTTAAACCCGGTAAAGGGCATATTACCAAGGTGATTTAAAAAATAGTTTGTAACATTTGGTCCGAGAAGCAAATGACTGAGGAATGGAGCTTAAGTGTAATATACCCGTTACACAAAAAGGGGATCCAACTAAAATGCAATAATAACCGCGGAATAACTACCCTAAATATAGCATCCAAGAAATTGTCAAACATCTTGCATGAGAGATTGAAGCCTTATACCAAAGCGTTCCTAGGAAAATATTAGGCAGGTTTCAGGCGTGGGCGTTAAACTTTTAACCAGATCTTCACACTACGACAAATTCTCGAAGAGCGCAATAGTTTAGTATATATGTGTACCATATTTTTGTCGAATTTGAAGCGGCATATTACAGTGTCATAAGACCAAATCTTTATAGCGCTATGAATGAGTTAGGAATTCCAAAAAAAGAGATTTTGAGTCCTTCAAATTTGTAAGTAACAATGTCGGAATAGGGTTCTGGCGGAGTTTAACTCACAAAACCCCCCTGTGTGCGCCACTGAACTACAGAATATCTACAAGCATAAGTTTTGTGGAGAAGATCTACCACTGCAATCAAGCCAAACTCTCTGCAGTGGACAGGACATGTAGCCCGGGACTTGGAATCGAACATGAGGAAAAAAATTCAAACAGCACAATCGGTGAAAATGAGAAGACGCGCTAAACAAAAGCTGAGGTAATATAAACAGGATGCTGAGCAGATCAGTGTTGCCAACTGGAAAATCCAAGCGAGGAACAGAAGAAAATCGCGCAGTATAAGCTTGGGTAAGCAATGATCGGATCCACTAAATGATGAGCAAGTATAACAAAAGATCAGAGCATGCGGCTCTGTATTACTCACTCCATACATCCCTATCGGACAAACGTGTACGCTTAAAAAACCAGTGTTATTATATATATATATATATATATATATATATATATATATATATATATATATATATATATGTATATATATATATATATATATATATATATATATATATTATATATAAATAGAGTGTGTATAACGACGCTAAGAATACAATTCTTTGGAGGGTAACTTTCGGGAAAGCGTCAAAACAAGGATCAGCTAGAGATGGTATAAGCCAGTTTGGTGTAGAACTTTATTCTAAATGTGAAATTTTCGGTGATATGTTGTCACCTTCATCAGCACCTAAATGGAAAACCTATTATAGTACAGTGGTGGAAATCAACATTTAAAAACCTACATTGAAAATGTTCAGTTGGTCCTAGTGGTAAAGAACACTGTCACAAACATGTTAAAAATATTAAAAAATACATTTAAAATTTTGAATAAATTACACCACTGTACTATAATAGGTTTTCCATTTAGGTGCTGATGAAGGTGACAACATATCACCGAAAATTTCACATTTAGAATAAAGTTCTACACCAAGCTGGCTTATACCATCTCTAGCTGATCCTTGTTTTGACGCTTTCCCGAAAGTTACCCTCCAAAGTATATATATATATATTATATATATATTATATATATATATATATATATATATATATATATATATATATATATATTATATAATAACACTTTTAAAATTGATTTTAAAGTTTAGGAAATCTAAAACTAACAAATCTAAGATATGAAATGTCCAAGTCTAAATTTTATTTCTAAATTAGAGAACTTACTGAAGCAGGTACAGTATCAAGTTGTCTAGCCCCATGATTGGAAACCAATATTGCAGAAACTCCGGCTTCTACTGCTAAAATAGCATCTTCAGCAGTCAAAATTCCCTTAACAATTATTGGAAGGTTGGTTATTGTTTTTAACCACTTTATGTAGTTCCAATCAGCAGTTGGATCAGAAATATCGACTAAACTATTTAAAACGTTGTTGTTTTGATACTTTATCAAAAGAGCTGAGCTGAAATATGGTATATAATATTAAAGAGAGACAAAACACAAAATAATATAATTTTTCACACAAATATAAATCCCAACAGGGAACGTAGCAGCCATCAAACTTACAGAATTGTAATCAATAATTTGTTTAATTATTTGCCTTTATAATCAATTACATCAATTTATAAATGAATTTTTATAACCATCTTTATTTAGTGAAAAAATTTAAATAACATGCACAGATTAAACAGGAAAATGAATAGCGTGTGTATTATGGGAAATTACTAAATGTTTCTTTCAGCACAGAGACACAACTGTCTTAGAAACTGAAAATCGAAATATTTACTCTTTTTTAACGTGGATAAGACAGTAGCATTATCCTATAAAGAAGCTCTTCACCCCTTGTTTCTTAATAACAGCCAGATACTATCGTTGATTCCGTAAAATTTCTTGGTATTTTTATAGACAGCAACCTTAAATGATCCATTCATATCGAACTGTTAAGTAAGAACCTAGCCTTAGCCTGCTGTGGCAGAAATCCAAGCTTTGATGTGTATTTACCGATCCTGTCCACTGAGTTAGTAAAGAAATATATATTATATTCGGCAAAAAAAATATACAATCATCTCCCATTGCAACTTAAATCTGCAGCTTCTTTCCATAAGTTCAGTAAAATGACAAAAACCTACCTATCTGGAAGACCATATTATTCAGTCGAAGAGTTTCTTATCACATGCAGCAACTTAAACTTATTATTTCATAACTTTTCTTGTACAATTTGCAATGTATTTAAATTTTGCAATGAATTGCGTATTTTATTATCTTTTACTTTGTGATATTGACGATTTATGTAATTTCAATATTACAATAAAGCATATTTCTCTTATATTCCATTCTATTTAGAAATATCTTTTTTGTACATTCAAACTCTACCTCGAATCTGATCTACTTAAATGATACTAGGTACAATGAACTCTTTCAGCATAAAATTTCTGACTGTTCTCTTCTCTGTGACACACTTCTATTCTCAGCTAGTTGCATATTGAAAACGTGACCTGGACCCAATACCTTGTTGTAATTCTTCATATAATAGTTTTCTTAGAGGATATGGTTTTTAGTTTTGTTAACAGATAACTCCGATAACTAAATCTTTTTTTTTTCGTCCATATCTTTCTTCTTAACGTGCCCTATCAAGTCCCCTTGACGTTGGCGATTAACATGGCGAAACTGTCTCTGTCTCGAGCTATTCTAAAGAGTTGCTCAGCTTTCCTTATTCCTGTCCACTCCCTGATATTCTTCAACCAAGAGGCCTGCTTTCTACCAATTCCTCTGCGTCCTTCGATTTTACCCATCATAATAAGTTGAAGAATATTATATCGGTCTCCCCTTACTACGTGTCCAAAATAGGCCATCTTTCTACATTTGATGTTATCAAGCAGCTCGCGAGCAGCATTTGCTCTCTCAAGGACTGCCACATTTGTCAGCATAGCCGTCCATGGAATTTTTAGTATACGTCTGTGCAGCCACATTTCAAAGGCCTCCAGACGATTAATGGTGGATATTTTTAATGTCCATGCTTCGACACCGTATAAGAGGACTGACCAAATGTAGCATTTAACCATGCGCTTTCGAAGTTGAAGTTGCAAGTTATCATTACAGAAGAATAACCTCATTTTTAAAAATGTCGTGCTGGCTATCTCGATTCTACATTTTATCTCTTGATCTGGATCTAGTTGTTCAGTAATATGGCAACCAAGATAATTAAAACTGGACACTCTTTGAATTATATGAACATATAATCATCAACATATAATCGTGCATCTTGATGTGCTAAACGGCTAAACACCATGTGTTTTGTTTTTGAACAGTTTATGTTTAGGCCAAACTCTCTTCCCACTGTATCAATGGCATTTAAAAGGCATTGTAGTCCATTTATGTCATCACTTAAAATAACTGTATCGTCTGCATATCTGATTGTATTTATCAGAATTCCATTAACTTTCACGCCCCATTCCAAATTATGCAGCGCTTCTTTAAATATTCTATCTGAATATAAATTAAATAACAGTGGGGATAGTATACAACCCTGTCTGACACCTCTTTGTATTTTACATATTTCTGTTGATTTTCCGTTTATGCAAGCTGTCGCTGTTTGACGCCAGTATAACTTTTCTATGAATCGTATGTCTTGACTATCAACTCCTTTATCTTTTAATATTGTAATTAATTTGTGATGCTGTACTCGATCAAAGGCCTTTTCATAGTCAATAAATACAGCAAAGACGTCTTTCGTTTGAACTCCACATTTCTGCAGTAATACATTTAGTGCAAAGAGGGCGTCTCGAGTCCATTTCTGAAGCCAAATTGTGTTTGATCCTGGTCTTCTTCACATTTATCTCTGATTCTACTGTGGATGATGCGTAGAAATATTTTCAAAGTGTGACTCATGCAGTATTTATTGAGATTAATATTTTTTATATATAATGCTAGGCGTAGATATATCTACGTTTCTCCTTCAGCAGATGACATAATTCTTGGTATCCTGTTTTTAGTGATTTGAAGTTCCACAAGACTAGCCCAATGTGAGTTTTCGATGGATTTCGTTTTGTCCTTATTTCTTACTGTACTTTCAGTTATTAGTTCGATATTGAGGCTTTACTTTTGGTCTATGCATATTTTTTTACTATAAACAGGCTGCTAACCTTGCCACAATTTATCCGCAGTTGTTAAATCCACCCAATGACGCAGTGTTGTGAAGAAATAAAAAACAGTAGTTTCCAACTGGTCCGATTTTACCTTGATTTGACTGTTAAAAATGATCAAAATAGACTATTGGCTATTATTATAAAAAATTCAGATATAAAGAGAAAAACTCTTAGACTTACCACAAATTTGGGGGCAATTTAAATTGATTTCTTATATTAACCAATCTTAAGCCAAAAGCTACAAAATCTACAGTCAATACAATAGCTTCAAATCCATTAGTTTCAGCTTCTTGAATCAAATCTTGGGTAATACTCCTAAAAACGAAACTTTTTATAGAGTTCACTACATCTTGTATCTGAAAAAATATTAACACTATGATTTTAACACTTAGACTGCCACCATAGTGAAAAAAAGAGGGTCCTTCCGGCCGTATATATTTTTCTCTCTATATACAAATAAAATTAAAAACTAAGCATATATGCACACGTTTTTTTTTCAAAATAAACGGTAATTTGCGTTAGTTAGAGATAATAATCACCATGATTCACGCGGCCTTGTTGACTGATATCGTTTATTACAACCGTGCGCATCATATTATGCCGATACACACAAAAACATGCGGTCTTGTTATCTGATATCGTTTATTACAATTATATGCCCATTCCCACACTGACTTTGTCTAATAACCTACAGAATAAGGGACATTCAATTTATATAAATAATTATTACACCAGTATTTCTCTAGCCCATAAATCACATAACAGAAACACTCATTTAGTTAGAAATCTAGAAAATTGCAAAAAGGATAAACAGTTGCAGCTGAAAGTAACACAGGAGCGATGATTCAAAAATGAAAGCCAAACGCAAAACATGTAACTGACTACAATAAACATAAAACACATCAATCTGTCTGACCAAATGAAAACATACACCATCTCATTGAGAAAGGGAGTAAAGTGATATAGAAAGTTAGCAATTGAACTGCTTGTGGAAACTACGTTAGTAAATATCTATATTTTACACCAAGAAGTGTCAAATGAGAAAATGACTATAACAAAATTCAAAGAGACTCTCGTAGTAAGCCTAGTACAGTTCATTCGACAAAACCTTAATACTAATGACAGTCATTTGTTGGAACACGTAGGTTCCAGTAATCGTCGGTGTGTTGTTTGTTATGAAACTATTGCTAAAACTGGGCGAAAAAATGCTCAATTGAAAACTCCTGAGTCAAATCTTTGTAGGCAATATAATAAGCATTATTGTTTGAGTTGTTTTTTTGAAAAACACGTTTCTATTAAAATAACAATGTATGGAAATAATAGTTTTCATTAAAAAATAAATAAATATAGCTGACTTTAGTATACAGTTTTTACCAGTAACCCACTTTCTAGGCTGTGAGAATCGAACAATAGGTCCCATATTTCAGAGGCCAAATATAGTTTCTGCTGCTTACAGCCATCTACTTTTACACTGTATTAACGATACATTGATATGAAAGACCACAACTGTTTCTCCCAGCTTTTATAATTTGTGATATGTGAGAATCAATATTTGATTCTCGCAGCTGTAAAGTCATGTTACCCGTACATCACGTTATCCTTCTCATGGCAATGAAAGTGTTAAAGTAAACATGTTCTCTCTATATCTCTCTATCAGTCGTTATTGTTACAACAAGGTGGTTTTTAGGTTAATGGTTTATAGCCATCCATCTATCTATCTAAAGCCGTCGATTGCTATTTTCATTCATCTTAAACCGGCATTTCTCTTTAAATTATCTGCCCAACTTATCTGTGGTTGGATTATTTTGATTTCCAAAGTCTCCAGTGTAGTACGTTCGATAGGTATCGGTCCATTAGAAGATATGCCAGGCTATCTTAATACAGTTTGCTAATAAGGTGAGTCAAGTGTTCATCATCATCATTTTGGCTTTACAACCCTGTGTGGGTCCTAGTCTCCCCAAGAATTCTTTTCCAGTCGTCCCTATCCATCGCCTTCCTCCGCCAAGCACGTATTTCCATATTTCTCATATCTTGGTCTATGTTATCTAGGAATCTTGTTCTGGGTCTTCCTCTTCTTCTTTGACCAATAGGTCTATCAAGGAGCGTTTTTCTAGCTGGGTCGGTTTGCTCCATCCGCATTACATGGCCTACCCACCTCAGACGTCCTATCTTAATGTGTTTTACGATATCTGGTTCCTGGTATATTCTATAGAGTTCGAAGTTGTATCGTCTTCTCCAGACACCATTTTCATTTACCGCTCCATAGATTCGCCTCAGTATTTTTCTTTCGAAACATCCTAACATGTTTTCATTGCTTTTTGTTAAAGTCCAGGTTTCTGAACCATATGTTAGGACTGGGCGTATTATTGTTTTGTAGAGTTTTACTTTTGTATTTCTCGATATAGCTGTAGATTTAAAAAGGAGATTAAGCCCAAAATAGCATCTATTAGCCGTGCAAATTCTGCGGTTTATCTCTGCGGTAATGTCATTTTCAGTATTGACGAGCGTTCCCAGGTATACAAATTCGTTAACTGCTTCGATGACGTCGTTTTCTATAACAAGTGGCCGTCGTATTTGTGGTTGCGGACCTATTTTCATGTATTTCGTTTTATTAATGTTTATTATTAAACCCATTTTTGTAGCCGCTTCCTTTAGTGTTACATACGCTACTCGAGCTGCGTTTTCCGTTCTCCCAACAATATTGATATCATCAGCATATGCTAGGAGTTGCACAGATTTGTTATATATTGAACCGGTAGTTGTGATTTGTGACGTACGTATTACTTTTTGCAGAGCTAGATTGAATAGTATACAGGAGAGTGGGTCTCCCTGACGTAGCCCGTTATTTGTATTAAAAGGTTCAGAGAGTTCCCCCTGGATTGGTACTCTGCATTCAACTTTTTCAAGGGTTAGTTTGGTTAGACTTACCAACTGATTTGGTACTCCCAGGTCTATCATTGCTCTAAACAATTCTCTTCTATATTACAGAGTCGTAGGCTGCCTTGTAGTCTATAAATATGTGGTGCGTGTCTACACCGTATTCCAGTGTTTTCTCTAGAATTTGTCTCAGGGTTGAAATGTGATGAATTGTAGATTTACCACTTTTGAAACCAGCCTGGTATTGTCCTATTATTTGCTCTGCATACGGTGCCATACGATGGCATAGTATATTGGAGAATATTTTATACGCTGCATTTAGGAGCGTAATTCCTCGATAGTTAGAGCATTCAAAGATATCTCCCTTTTTGTGTATGGTGCAAAGTATTCCAATATTCCAATCACTGGGGAGGGACTTCTGTATCCATATTTCTTTTATAAGCTGCTGTAGCGCTATTATGATATCGTGGCCACCTTCTTTATATAATTCCGCTGGAAGATTATCTATTCCGGGTGATTTGTTTCTGGCTAGTTTGTTTACAGCGTCTTTAACTTCCAGGATCGTTGGTAGACTCTCCTCCCTCTCGTCTGCTCCGCTTACCTCACAGCTTTCGTCTTCCGGGTTTTGTTCTTCTTCCTCTATATTAAGTATCTGGTTAAAATATTCCGTCCATCGATTTAGTACGTCTGTTCTTGTTGTTAATAGATCGCCATTCAAACTTCTACATTTATTTGTGTTTGCCTTGAACTCTTTTCTGTTGATGTTAACCTTCTTATAGAATGTTCTGAATTCTTTCTCTGTGTTGAGGTTTTCTATATATTGAAGTCCCTTTTTTAAGTGGTTTCGTTTCTTCATTCTGTGTATTTTCTTTTCTTCTCTTCTCTTTGTCTGGTAATTCTCTACACTTGTTCTAGTCCGGCGGGTAATATATAATGAATCAATTAAACATAAATAAAATACTGAGAATACAAATATCTAAAACAAATAATAGACTATTTAGGACACGTGCTTCGAAGAAATGGTCTTAAAAAACTTACAATCCAGGGAAAGGTAGAAGGTAAAAGAAGTTGAGGTAGATTTCCCATACAGTAGACGGGTCATATTGTTGCTACTATTGGTGCTCCATTGTCAGAATGTGCTAGAATTCCAGAAGCAGAACATAATAAAAGAAATAAAAGCCAAAAGACTTCAGTGAGCAGGTGTCTTAGAAGATATTCTGATGAAGTAATAGCTAGGCTGGTATAAGAAGTCCCAATTGGAAGAAGACCACGTGGACGACCTCAACTCCGGTGGCGAGATAACATAGCAGAAGACCTTAAAGCTATGATTACGGAGAATTGAATGGAGATTGCTCAAGACAGAGAGGAATGGATGTATGTTGTCAAGTCGGCTAAAACACACGAAGGGTTATACCGCCACGGAGTTAGTAGTCTTGCATTTATGATGGTAAGGAGTGCTTTCTTCTATCGGTGGACCTTCTTTATAGCTATATGGGAATAAAAGTGAACTTACCCACTCATTTCACCACTTCTGGCGTTCCAGATTTCATTGCAAAATTTAAGCAATACTTCAATCCCTACCTCTCCCATTTCTCTGAGTGTCTCAACTATTATTCCATCTACCTCTCCTGTTTTTCTAAATTTAAGCTGTTTTTTTAATTTGAGACTTCCATTACCAATACTAATATATACTATACTAATTTTGTTGAGAGCAGATCAGAAAAGATATGCAGATGATTTGTTAAAAGTTCTGTCGTTCTTAAAGAAGAGAATTTCACAATATTGTTTTCACACCTTTGCGATACCTTTTGAGTTTGTTATGGTATTCCCACTATTATCTTTGATGATCTGTGTCTAGTCTAATTGTGCACATATATTTTTATAATTATTTTTTTAATCTTTCTGCATGACCGTTTTATAATTGTATTTATGGTATTTATCTCTATTTTTTTATATTAAATTTGATGTGTCGTTTTAATTTTTCGTCTCTCTTCTACAAGGTTGAGTCTTTTTAGTTATCCAATGTTTTTTCTTATCTATTTTTTCTTTGGTTATTGTGTTGTTGATGGCTTCATTAATATATTTTTCCTTTATTCCTACGCTTTGTGAGAGTCTCCGGAAGTAACAAATTTTTTGGTTGTTTTGGAACAATTTTTATCTTCTCTTCATAATTGTCTACTGTGTAACTAAATGCGTAATTCTGCTTGGAACATTTTGTGGTCGAAACCATATTCTGTAGTTATTTTTTATTTTTTCTTTAATTAGAGATCAAACAAACAACTAAATCTAACTGAACTCAATCTCATCATCATCACCATGCAACTACTTCTGTCCATTGCTGGACATATGTAGGTCTCTCCCATTTTTCGCCACTCTTCACGGTTCTGTACGTTTTGTTGCCATTTCTTGAATATTGGTTTAATGTCCTCCATCCAACGTGTTGGTGGTCATCCTCTGTTGCGTTTGACTTCTCTTGGGCGCCGCTCAATAAGTTTTACCTGTTCTTTTCCTTAGGTCTTGTTTGACAAAAGAGAAAATACTTAATATACGAAGCACTGTGTGAAGATATGTAGATAAGGGGAATTGAAAATACACTTACCACCGTTTGATAGAGACAAACCGCTTGTCACAGGAACCAACTCGGAAATGAGCTCGAATTCTGATCTTAGACAAGCTAAGGATAAAAAAAATGGGAGTATTGGCCGAAAAGTGCCACGCGAAAATAATACTTAATTGGCAAGCCTAGTGTGGTCGTTTTTGTAACCTAACCACTTTCTCTTGACAGGAATTATTTTTTCATCGAAAACCAACATCTTCGTTTTTCTTAGGTAAGCAGGGTACTCGACTGAGTTCTTTGTTACGAAGAAGGGTTTCTATTTAACAAATGATAAATAAAAAAGCAGGGAACATTTGGCGAATTGTTTCGTTGTTAAAAAAGGCATGACAAATCGCTCGGTGCTTTTGGGTATTTTTAAGGCTCCTAGCAAAATATATAGACATAGGCGGCTTGAAAGTAATTTTCAAAGGGGAATAATTTAAATAAATTTTAAACATGCTTCAAACGAATTGTAAACTTTTGTTTGCTTTTACATCGTAAAAGATCAAAAATATATACACTAAAACCGTGATTTTATAAATTAACATACCTTTTCTGAAAAATATAAAGCTGTAACCATTTTCTTGCATTTGGACCAGCTCTTGCCACCTCGTCGATGAATGAATTAGAATGTGAACTGAGTATGAAAATTGTTTGATTTTCTTCTGCAGCTAAAAAATCAATTAAAGGCTCAGCACCAAAAATAATAATATTTATTAATGTTATAATAGATGCATTGCTCAAATGAATTAGAAGTACTCCACTTTATATATTTACAACTTTTTGGGTAAAAAAATAATCTTGTAAACCATCTCGAACTTTTAAAATTCCTGTGTATAATTGTAAATGTAATAAACAGTTAATAAACAATTAAGATTTATCTATTTACAAATATTACAACAAAGAATGTGATAATAGATACATTTTCTTTATAGAAGAATATTGTTTTGATTTTCGATTAAGTTAAATATTCCCACCAGCAAAAGTAACTTCTTCCATCTTGTGTCTAGAAGAATCCCACGAAAACCCCCTATCTCAACCTGTTACTATTATAAAACTAAATAACTCCTTACAGGATATGAAAAACTCAAGTTCAGGACGCGACAATAATTCTGTTGAAATTCTTAAAGCAATTATCAGTCTTAGCAGAACAACATCTACTGCAAAATTTCAATCAAATTTGGCAACAATGACAATATCCGCCTATATGGGCAAAAGCCACAATTCTGCCGTTTTTAAAATCCAGAAAGCCTGGACTTGATCCAGAATCATACAGACCCATCTCTCTAATATGTGCCATGGCTAAATTAATAGAGAAAATAGTCAATGCCCCGCTTATGTGGACACTGGAATAATCTCATTTCTTCTTACCAGAGCAAAACGGCTTCAGACGTAACCGGTCAGCAATTGACAATATCGTAGACTTACAAAGTGATGTCCAAGAAGAGTTAGCAATGAATCAAATATGCATAGCTACTTTCTTCAATCTAAAGAAAGCCTTCAATACGTGTTGGGGATTCAACATCATTAAAAAATTACATGCATCCAATATTAGAGGACACTGCTTAGCCTATATCGAAAATTTCTCAAAAGTCTTTTCTTTCCAAGTAAGAGTTAATTACGTTTATTCCGATTTTTATACTGCAAAAAACGGTATCCCACAAGGCTCAGTACTTAGTCCTACCCTATTCCTAGTTGCCATAAACAACATAATAAACAAATTACATAAACCTCACAAAGCTCGCCTCTATGCCGACGATTTAGTGGTATACATTAAAGGAGCACAAAAAGAATCTATATGCAGAATAGTACAGACATTTTTAACCCAACCAGATGAATGGAGAGCTAGTACCGGATTCGAATTCTCCGTTACAAAAACAACTGGTATGGTGTTTACGAAAAAATCATCCATTACACTTTATTTTCACAACAGCATCATTCTCTTACAACACTCTATGATATTCCTTGATATGTGGCTGGATCAAAAACTTTCCTGGAAAAAGCTCATACAATACTTGGTGCTAACATGCAACAACAAGACTCAATTAGCTTGAAACCGTATCAAATCGTTTCTGGGGTTTCGACTTCTCTACACTACTCCTTCTGTATAAAACACTAATTAGATCCAAACTTGATTACGGTTCAATTGTTTATGCCTCCGCAACCAAGAGTACCCTGAAACCGTTAGATACAATCCACAATGCCGCACTTCGGATCGTTCTCGGAGCTTTTTATACTTCACCCATAGAAAGCTTGTATTCCGAAACTGGAGAATCATCATTGCAGTATATGCGGGCAGTTTTAACACTTTCCCACGCTTTTTCTGTAGCAGCTAATAAGGATCATCCATTCTTCGAAAATACCTGTATGTACCTTCTGCATGTACCAGAAAACCCACTATAAAATTTCTATTACCACTTCCAATTTTATAAAACAAAAATACACCATTACCGTCTGTAAATAAGTTCCCCACCATCATAACGTGTAAGGCGAAATCTTGACACATCGAAAATATATTTTGTGGTATATGTGACGCGAATGGTGTCACACACAGTTTTTTATTTTATTTTTTAGATAAACCCACCTTTGACACTGCCACATTCACCATCAGAATGAGCTAGTTTGTGAAAAGCCACGGGTGAAATCCCTATTGGTATGGATACAGGTTTTCCTAAAACATTTGTGGACAAATTCCTGACATCTACTTTTTTCATATATCTTGGTCTAATTAGGTATCTAGAACAGAAAAAAAATACTTGGAGAAAAAAATCTTCTAATAATTTAATTTTATCTGATCATTTATATTGACAATTCAGACATATATTATACATTTTAAAGTAGACGGCTTTAAAATGATATTGCTGAGATGCGTTTCTGGGACGACTTTATTGTATGACAGTTTATTTGATTACATTAAATCAACTTTAATTTGAGAATATATGTCAAAAAAAATTATAGCATGTGATTCGTCTTGAAAAAGACAACCATGTGCCATTTTGACAGTAAAATTTTTATGTTAGTGATTCCATAGTAAATAATAAGGAAAAAAACGGGAAGAAAACCTCATAATACTATTCCATGTCGGATTGACCACCAATCACCATAATTTCTCAAATTTTTTGAACAGGTAAATTCTTCTGTAGAAGCAGTTAAAAAATAATACTTTTTAAAATTTTATTGGAGTATCCAAGGAGTACAAAAGAGTACACGAAGTATAAGTGACAGTGCGAAACTCCTCGTCTTGACTGATGGCTAATATCAAAGTTTAAATCAAATATATAAACTTTTAAAATAAAAATAATATATATTTATTTTATAGGCATTTTAAAAAGTTTGATTTAAAAAGCCTAGGAGAGGATATTGGAGCTTTTTGAACCAGTCTGGCCCTGACCATCATCGATTAATAACTATAGCACTTGACGAAAAAGATTTGCGTTAAATTAACAAATATGTCGCACATTGAAATCAAAAGTGGCATTATACAAAATTCGGTGGTTTTTAGTTACAGCGACATCTAAAATCTACGAGCAAAACTACGTCTGTTGCAAAGATCTCCGTTGTAATAGCTCGCTCGGTTTTCTGTAGACGTCGCTAATGTCACTTCTTACTTTGTTGTCGCGAGCATGGGTCGTGACGTGACCGATAAACCGACACTAAACCAGTAAAGGTCCAGCCGCCCACCTAACCTAACCTAACCTAACCTTCTTACCTATGCAGCCGCCGCAACGAGTCTTAGCTGAGGTAAGTGAAAAAGTGACATATTTTGTATAATGTCGTTTTTTTAATTACGTGATAGTATAAATACAACAAATTATGATTTCGTTATTGGCATATTTTGTAAAGTGCCGATATTTTACTCAACTATTCCAGATAACTGTTTATATAGAATAAATAAGGGGCATATTGTGCTTAGTGTCATTTTTGTGGTTTAAATGTCATATTTTTAATTTATTGTCATATTAAATAGACGTCATTTTAAGTAAAATGTCATTGTTTTATTTAAAAATGTATATTTAATTAGATAATTAGGATATTAAACACCGACATTTAAAGTATTATCCGACATTTAATATACATATTAAAAGAATTTAATATTAGTTTGTTCGTAACTAAAAAGGACCAATGTGAACAATGCACAATATATAAGCTGGCTGAAGATCCCAGAAAGGAAGCTTCGAAGGAAGATTATGACCGCCATTTAGCAGAAAAACAAAAAAGTCATGAAGAAAAAGCTAGTGACAAAGAGAAAGTGACAGATTGTTTTATCGTTGCATGCTAGGACTTACAAGCGGTAATGACGGTTCCTAAAGGAGACGTATCAACATTCTATTATAAGTCCAAAATAAATTGTTTGAATTTTACCATATCGGAGTTGAAAACAGACAATGTTACTTTTGGGATGAATCTCAAGGCAATCGTGGAGCCAATGAAATAGGTAGCTGTGTTTTGAAGTTTTTGCAAAAGAAGTCTTCTTTCGCTAATAAAGATCTTGATATAGTGTTCTATTCTGATAACTGCTGTGGCCAACAGAAGAAACAGGTGATCATTGGAATGTACGTCTATGCAGTATTAAAGGGGATGCAGTACATTCAACGATTGAGAAGGAAGTAAAAAAAGTCTTAAATCTGGACCCATTTACGTACCTTCCCAATACGTCTGTGCCATCAGAAGTTCGAAAAAACGTGGGACGCCGTACATTGTAAATGAGATGGGATACGAAGATTTTATGGATTTGAAACAACTGCCAGTTATTAAGCTGAATAGGAGTGTTGATGGTGCGGTTGTAAAGTTGTGTGATATAAAGTCATTAAAATTGAAAAGAACGTAATGAATGAGATTAAAATATTCTATAAAACGTCTTATTTTGATGACTTGAAGGAACTTGATTTGGCAAAAAGAACATCCAGAAACAGCCGACCTCAAGAACTTAAACCATTGTAATACCAAAAATTGGATATATCCGAAAGGAAGAAAAATGACTGAGGAATCTTGTGGATGCGGGGTTGTTTCCTGGATATTACCGATCCTACTATGAAAGTATTTTTAATTGAAAATGTAATAGCCTAAGCATTATCACATTTTTACAAATGCCTATTTGCATTTTTTGTTACGATCGTTTATTTCTTAGTTTATTTTGATAGTCTTAAAATATTTTATTTTAATTAAAACATTGCGTGATATTGTCGTGACTGATTCGAGTAAGACTTTCTTTTGTAGTACATACCTACAAATAAATACTTTATTCATCTAAAATTAGTTTTTCTTTAAAAGTTATTTTATACTGAAAAAGAGATAATTAAATTATTATTTAAAAGTAATCACATTGCTTGTTTTCAATTTATTTTTAAGTCTGGGCATAAAAATCATGTTAAAAAACTTTAAACAGCTATATCTGTAAAATTGAGTTTTTTATATAGTGCCACTTTTGATTTCAATGTGCGATGTGTTGATTTTTAGTACAACAATTGATTAAAATAGAAATACAATATAAATACCTGGAAAAACTCGTTCTATTCCACTTTAAAGTACGCTCTCGTCCTGCTCCGCTTTGAAAAAATTCGTATATAATTTTCGGAAGCTTCTCTTGAGCATATTTTTCATAATCATCAATACAGACTAGTGACATTTTAAGGATTGAAGTTACGAATGGGTCTGCTAGCTTCCTAAATATTTACTAACATTTTTAATATCTTCATACACGTAATTTATAAACACAATATAAAAATCAATTAGCAACTAAAGTTTTGTTTGTGTAGATAAAATTATTTGTGTTTAAATTGTTTAAAGAAACTAAAATTTTTAAATAAATTTCATAATATCTATTTGATTTATGTAAAATGTTTGGATAAATTGTTAGCACCTTTAATACAGAATCTTAATTTATTTAACATATAAAATTACTATTAAAATTTTAAAAATATTTTTTCAGCAATCTATCAGCAATATTCATTATAAATCAATCGACTACATTACATCCAGACAGACTTCCTGGCTACGTATGTATAATACCAGAGTTAATATGGGGGCAGAATAGGAACAGACCAGTATCTTGTAAAGGCCCTAACCATTTTCCGATTAGCGACACATTCTGAGAATCTAGTAGAACCACATTATCGAGAAATTTGTGAGAAAATGTAGCTATATAAACACTCTAAAAGATGAGTCAACAGCATTTCACTACAAAACAAGATTAAAGTTAAAGCTTAATAATCTCTCACATTTGTCTGCCCTAAATACGAGAACAAATGGAAAACAAATACTAGATCGAAGGAATACCTACCAAAGAATAGTAAAGTGAAGAGATTAGAGTACATATAGTAGAGAAAAACAACATTTAACGTAATGGTTAATGACAAAAGACACAAGTCGAAAATACTACACAAGCTGCTGTAAAGATGTCAAAACGCAGTGCTAAAGGAAAAAAATTAAATATGGGAAAATATGTGTAAATAATTAGACCAGTGCATATGCTTTAAAAGAGCAAGCCAAGCATGGAGAACAATAAAATCACCAAAAACGGATATAAAGAAAAAAGTTCATATCAGACTAATACCATTAATAGATTGAAAAGATTATAATCAAAATCTATTGAAGATCGTCCACAATTTCTTTCTAAAAATAAAGACCAGTCGTTCGGAGAACTTATACAGAAAACTAACACAAATGAAAGAAGTCTAATGACATTAAAAAATAGACGAGCTTCTGGACGTACAGGTCTCCCCATTGAACTTTGTAAGAATGGACCGAACTGTCCACTGCACCTACTCACTTTTGTGTTTAATAATTAAACAAGCAAGCACTAATTGATTTTTTAAGAGGCGAAAAACTACCACAGAATGGAAAACAGTCTTCGTATTAAAAAGTCATAAAAAAAGATCAAAAAAATAGCAGCAGCAAATATAGAAGTTTAAGTGTAACAAACTCTGTTGCTAGGCTTTACAGACTTTACAACTCTGTTGAGAAATTATTAAAGAATTGTCTTGTATTGACAACCGGTTTTGCCTAAAACAGCTTTTAGAAAAAACATCAATAAGAAACTTCCTAGATCTAAAAAAACCTATGATACCATACCCTTCAGTAAATTGTGGTCTGTAATGAAAGAGAATGGTATAGGACGTATCTCGTATAAAGGTCGCAATTTGGCAGAAATATGAACTTATATACGAGAATTTTCGCGACGTTCAAAATAGCGACCGAGGCATTCTAGACCATATACGACGAAGCAGTTATTCGGGATAGTGACCTTGGCATTCTAGAACATAAGGCGTAGTAACGAATAGTGATCGAGATGATTATAGAATAATGTATTTGTGTATATAAGGAGCACTATTATTAGTTTAGTTTTAGTTTTGAAGATAATATCGCGCTGTAAATAAATAGTTTATATAAATTAGAACCGCTCGGTTTATTTAAAATCGTTACAGTGGTGTCACGTGTGTGATATAATTTATTAATTTAAACATAAATTAAACAGTGACTTTTAAAAAGACTCTTGAATTTTTGAAAAGTAGTGTTTGTCGAGAACATCCGCGTAGTTTGGTAGTGATTTTTGTACGAAAGAACATTTTGAAAGTATGTGCTGTGCCCAACCAAAGATGCTCGCAGAACTGTCAGCCAAAAAGTTTCGTGAACAACTAGAAGAAAGGAATAAAGACTGCAGCGGGTGCAAGAAGATCCTTCAAGAACAACTAAGGGATCTTCTCAACAAGAATGGAGATTACCCAGAGACATTCCAGTTTCAGCCAGCAGAAGAAGCAGTTTTAACGAAAATAATTGATGATAGATTCGAAAATATTTCTCAAATGATTGAAAAAACTTTTAGAAATAATGATGATATATTCGAAAATGTTTCCAAAAGATTTGATGAAACTTCTCAAATTATTGAAGAAGCACAAAGGAACGAGAAATTTAAAACTGTTTCTAGAATATTCGACGAGACTTCTCAAATATTTAAAGAAGTATGTAGACGGAACAATGAGAAATTTGAAGTTGTTCTAGAGCATTCGATAAGACAGTAAGAGAGAGAAAGATGTAGACAATGTAGAAGAGAAGATCAAACAATTAGGGAGCATTCGATCGGTTTTTCCTTTTGTCTCTAGAATTTATTACTTTGTTCATTATTTAATATTCTTAGCTGATTTTACATCTTTTCTGTAGTTCGTTGTTAGATTCTTCATGAAACGATATTTTACCATTATTCTTTGTATTCTCGCGATTAGCTTTCACTGGCTTTTCTTACTGTTTTTTTCTTTTCCATAATTCGTAGACTTTTTATTTCCTTTGTAACTTAATTTCCTTCGTAGTTTTTTATCTGGTGCTGAGTATTGAACAAAATAAGAATACATATTTGGAGAAATACAGTGACGACTTAGAAGAGATGATTAAAAGAAAAAAAAGTGCATTTCATAAATGGCTAAACGACAGAACCCCAGGAACACGGGGAGAATATGTTACCCTCAGACAACAAGTTAAACAAAGAATAAAGCTCGAGAAAAACGAATACTGGGAGAGAATGTGCAGAGACATAGACAACACGATAGGGTATAACAGATCAACGGAAGCATGGAAAAAAATAAAAAACATCAGAAGTAATAAACGAAGTAAAAATACCATACAGATAATTACATCAAAAGAGTGGACAAAGCATTACACAAAATTATTGCAGGAGAATAGGCCGGAGTATATCTCATACGACCCTGTGACAATAATAACTGAGGAAGCAGAAATCACAGAGGAAGATATAAATAAAGCACTAAAGAAATCCAAAAACAATAAAGCACCAGGACCAGGGAACATAAAAATGGAACTGCTGAAATATGGAGGCGCAAGGATAGTATCCTTTATACGAATGTTGTTCAATAAAATCGAAGCAGGAGAGAAGATTCCCGATGAGTGGAATTTATCATACATGTCCTCCATTTTCAAAAAAGGTGACAAAAGGTCACCAAATAACTACAGAGGGATCAGTGTAATGCCTTCAATAGCAAGAATCTTTTCATCAGTTATAAAAGAAAAACTAGAACAACACATGGACCATTATAGCGAAGAACAAGCCGGATTCCGAAAAGCCAGATCATGTTTAGATAATATATTCATTATGAGACAGGTGATTGAAAAGAACAAAGAAAAAAACATTGAAACACATATGACCTTTATCGACTTAGAGAAAGCATACGATAGCGTGCCCAGGAAACAACTATGGGAAGCAATGAGAAGAATGCGCGTTAGAGAGAAATGGGTGAATATAACACAAAGACTGTATAAAGAAACACAAGTGCAAATAAAGTTAGGTAATGAAATAACAAAAACAATCACCGCAACAAAAGGCCTCAAACAGGGATGTGGTCTCTCACCTACACTTTTTAACATATATAAAGATCAGGCTTTGAAAAGATGGTATAGAAAATGCGGAACAATTCATGGAGTGATATGGAACAACACTCTAACCAAAGAAAATAAAAAGAGGATCTTTCAAAGCATAGTGATGAATATTACCCTATATGGAGCGGAAGTATGGCCAATGACAACAACAATACGAAATAAAATAAGAACAGTTGAACTGGGCTTCATGAGAAGATGTCTACAAATCACAAGAGCGGATAGAATAAGAACGGAGAAAATATGGAACAGAATGGAAGTAGAATGCTCAATTACAAAAAAGTTGGAAAACAGAGCCCTGCAGTGGTACGGGCATGTACAAAGAATGCCAGAGCATAGGTGGCCGAAAAGAATATTAAACTGGGACCCGCCGGAAGAAGACGGAGAGGAAGACCTGCTACAAGATGGAAAACATACGTCGGAAATGCTATGAAATATAGAGTGACTGGGAGAATAAGTGCTGTGGAGGACGAAAACGGCGAACTCATAATGGGAAAAGCCGAAGAAGTTTTTTATCTTCTTTATTAATCTACCTGCATTGCTTATTTTTTATTCGTTTAAATGTATTGGAATGCTCTGTTTGATATTGACTTTCACTATCAAATGATCGGAGTAGGCTCTTAGGACTCCTGAGTTCTAGTGCTATCGAAACTTATTCGTAACCTCCTTTTAATGTTAATTCAAGAATTTTGCCGGACCCCTTGTATCGGTTTGGTATCGATTTTTTGCTGCGTTGTATATTACTCAATATATTTTTTGATAATTCCTTTATAATCGTAAAATACAAAATATCTGAAATTCAGCTAAATTTATCAAGCTCATTATCTAGTCCTTTAGTTTCTTTGTTATCAAGGAGAAGGTACCATACAATATAGTTTCTCCTCAGCTGTTAAGGTACAGTAGTCTCCCATTTATATTATCCTTGTCCTTTTGTGTAATAATATTCGTTCAACTATTTAATTTTTTGTTTTAATCTCATATACTATATTTACTCTTCACTTATATTAAAAAAAATTAGAATAAATAAAACACAGTAATAAGAGGAATAAAATTTATTAAACTTAATTATAACAGTTTCTTTAATAAAATTTTAGCACCAGGCGACGTCTGCTTCTTCAGCAACTTCAACGAATTCTTTAATTTTTGTTTCATCTTGTTTTGAGTCTCTTCTGAGCCATTTTCAAAGACTGTTACTAAAAGAAAACATCCTCTATTGAGTTTCAACCAACTTGTCATCTAAAACAAAAAGAAAAATATAAACTTGTGAACAAAAGTTTCGCTTCGACAAAAGTTAAAATTGAACAAAAGATATATGAAAGTTGAGAAGGAAACTGTAAGGCCAACTTTGGTGAGTATGAAAATCTCTTTGGTAAAATAATACAACATAGGTATAGAAGAGTAAGAGTCTGCCACTGCCAGCTACAAGTCGGATGAGAAAGGAGAAGGGTAAACCGATAGGGAATGATTCTTGCTGTCAGTAGTCACATTATTTGGCCATCTTTAAGTTCTTCTGGGTCGGGATGAGACGGTGCGTTATCCACTACAGGACTTCCTTTCTCGGTAGATTATTTTTTAATAAATTAAGTCTCTTAAGTTTGTGAAAGCCCTACGTTTTTTTGACTTTCAGATAAATCCTGTAGCGTTGCTGCAGACTGAAATTGTTACTCTTTCCTTTTTCCTCTTGAATCCTAGAGCACTGCCTTCTTGTTTTAAGGTCAGAGTATAGGTCAGCAGCATTTTATAATTGAGACCTGTTTCGTCATGACTGTAAAGCTGGTCTCCGGTAAGTCCTTCTTCTTCTAGTAAGCTGTACAAGGTTTGAAGACTTCGACAACTTCTGGGTCAGCAGAAAGTTTCTCACCACATATCTGTAGCTTCCGCACACCGACCGATTTTTTCAACTCCCCAACCATCCTTCACTTGCCTTGAAATCATTATTACCTCTAATTTCTTTGTTGAAGTGAAAGGCTTTTTCTTTTAATATAGGCACAAACACTCATTAATATGGTTGTTTGATATGGGCGTTTTTCATCATTTTCAGTTTCTTTATCCCAGTTATTGAAACCTGCGATGAGCAGGTTTCGTTTCGTTTCGAGATTTTCTACAGTCACAACAGTGCTAGTCCCTACACCCATCTCAACAGCAATCTTCTTAGCCGTTTCACCAGCATTTAGCCTTTTCAACGCTCGAAACTTTTCTTCCATTGTTACAACATTTTTCTTCCTTTTCTCGGCCATATTATCACAAAAAAATTGGACAAACAACAAGTACGAATATTTCATGCAAAACAACTTTCACTACTCAATAGCAAACAAAGACTAAGAGAAAACACAGACCCACATTCGGAGAAAGGCAAAACGGTAGAGAGAGTCATTCAAGGTCACATACCACGCTAGAAATACACCCATTTGTAGAGAATTCGCACCTACATAGGCGCGAAGCCGATCATATCTTCGAAAAATTTGTTCCGCGAACTGTCCGGATATGGGGGATGTGGAAAGTCCGGATGTGGCAAGTTAGACTTTATCTACAAATGATAAACCTAGAATATATCACAGTACAATACATTGCAGTAGTACTTATTAAAAAACTATATTGGGATCAAATGGCGTCTATCAAAATAGACAATAGTGTGACAGCAGAATTGCCAATAAAAAGAGGAGTTCGTCAGGGCTGTGTACTCTCTCCACTGTTATTTAATATATATTCCAAAAAGATCTTTCAAAAATCAACAACTTAAGATACGCAGACGACACCGTCATTATTGCGGACAGACGACACTTGCAAAAACCTATAGGAAGTACAATATAATGGATGTGACAGGATTTCAAATTAAACTTATGGATATGCAGTGGCCGTCAAGTTCCTCTATAGATGTAAGTAACAATGCTGATATTCTAATAACTAATGTATTGTCTGCACTCGATCAGTTTGCTCCAGAAATGTCTATTAATACGAAGGATGTTTGGGGAAATAAATTATGGTGGAATGAAGACATTGCGAATGAAATTAAAAAAAGAGATCAATATTACAAAAAGGCTATATTTACTAAAACTGATACTGACTGGGATGATTTCAAACAACAAAGAAATAGAGTCGTAGCATTAATCAGAATTACCAAACAAAATTATTATCAGGAAAAAATAGATGATTGTAAGAACGACCCAAAACGAATGTGGAAAACTATAAGGGGGTTGTAAACGGCAAAAAAAACCATGAAGCTAAAAGTGAAATAATATTTGATGGTTGGGGGGGTTACTGGTAAAGAGATAAGTGAAAGATTTAATATATTTTTTCTAGACAGTGTAAAAGACATAGCAGATAGCATTATTTCAAACAAAACCCACCAAGAAATTTGTAGTTCAATAAATGTCGACTGCAAAATGGAAAAATTCAAAATGTTAGAAATGAAAGATTTAAAAAAACAAATGAAAGAAATGAAAAACAAAGAAAGTAATGTTGATGGTATTACAGTTCAAATTTTAAAGAGTTCCTTTGAAGTAATAGGCGACAAAATTTTGCATATTATAAATGGTAGTCTAGAAAGTGGCGTATTCCCAAGTAAATGGAAGAGAAGTCTGGTTGTACCAATTGAGAAGGTTCATAGAACTGTTAAGTGTGAGGAATTTCGACCCATAAATATGGTACCACCATACGAAAAACTGCTGGAATTATGTGTAAATGATCAAATAGTGGAGTACTTGGAAAGCAATAATGTGTTAACTAAATTCCAAGCAGGGTTTAGGAGAGGAAATTCCTGTGAGAGTGCAATGCAGACGGTTTTGTTTGACTGGAAGGGTGCGCTGGAGTGCGGGAAAATGATTGGTGTGGTTTTCTTAGACTTTAAACGTGCATTTGAAACCATAAACAGACAACTGCTATTGAGAAAGATGGAAAGGTATGGCTTTGGTGAAAAAATTATAAAGTGGTTTCAAGAATATTTGACTGATAGAACACAAGTGACAAAATATGGTGCCATTTCATCGGCTCAGAAGTCTCTGTATGGTGTGCCACAGGGAACTGTGTTAGGTCCTACTCTTTTCATACTGTACATAAATGATATTGTTGATGTTGTTAAAAAGTGTAAGGTACAGTTGTTTGCCGATGATACTGTGATATATGCAATAGGGGATAAGGTAGATGAAATAATCGATATAATAAATGAAGAGATATGTAATATATTAAAATGGCTCGATAATAATTCCTTAAGTCTTAATGTAACTAAAACAAAAATGATGCTTATAAAGAATAAAAATTTTAAATTAAATAACATAATAAAAGATGTAAAAATTAATAATATTGCTTTGGAGAGAGTGGTTCAGTATAAGTATTTGGGATGTATTATAGATGAAAATTTAAGTTTTGTTGAACATTTTAAGTTTGTTACAAACAAAATAGCAAAAAAAATCTATGCATTGGGAAGAATGTCAAAAAATTTAAGTTGCTGGTCTAGGTTGACCATATATAAATCGATTATTGCTCCCCATCTCTATTTTTGCTCTACATTGCTGTTTTTAATGAATGCTTCTCAAATGAACGTACTGCAGAAAAAACAAAATAAAGCCTTAAGGATAATATTAGGATGTAGTGTATACACTAGTAGAACTGACATGCTAACAATGGCAAATGTTTTAAGTGTAAGACAGACAATTGTATGTAATAGTATGATTTTTGTTTATAAAATGTTAAATGGTCTGATACCTGTGCATTTGTGTAATAATTGTACCTTTGTTCGAGATGTACATGAACACAACACACGTTCTAGAAATAACTTTTATCTGAATAGGGTCAACACTAATTTTGGTCAGAACAATCTTTTTTATAGGGGATTAAAGCAATACAATGAATTACCGGAAAACATTAAGGCTTCTGGAAACTTAGCTCAATTTAAAAATTTATGTAAGATATATGTTAAGCAAAGCATTGTGATTTAATTTTAAGGGTATAAATTGATGTATTTATATGTATATTTTTCTAGCCATGTGCTATTAATAAAGATTATTATTATTATTATTATTATTATTACAGTGCTGAGGGTTTACAACAACTTTTGAATGTCATAATCAGAGAGGTAGATAGTTTGGGACTAAATATAAACACAAATAAAACAAAAGTAATGGCTGTTACACGTGCACCAAATGTATAGAACCAATACAAAGATTCCTGTATCTTGGTTGCTGGATAACAAACGATCTTGACCACGAGGTCGAAATACGTGCTCGTATAGAATATGCTAGGTCCGCATTTCAACCAATGAAAAAATTCCTAATAAACTCTACGTTATCGTTGGATATCCGATACCAATTTGTAAAAACGTTTATTTATTCCATATTGCTATACGGAGTGGAAACATGGACTCTCGGAATTACAAGTATGAGGCGTATAGAAGCCTTTGAGATGTGGGTTTTTCGAAGGATGCTGAAGATCTCTTGGACAGAGCACGTGACCAACAACGAGGTGCTAAGAAGAATGGGTACTGAGAGAGAACTCCTAAATATTGTAAAAAACAGAAAAACGAGTTATCTAGGACATATTTACAGAGGAGAAAAATACAACTTCCTACGACTTATAATGGAAGGGAAAGTGGAAGGAAGAAGAGGTCCAGGAAATAGAAAAAGTTCCTGGTTAAAGAATGTAAGAGACTGGACAGGCATGGACACACATTCGATACTAAGAACAGCTCAAGATAGAGAGCAATTTGCTGTAGTTATAGCCAACCTTCAGTAATGGAGAAGGTACCGTAAGAAGAAAATATATTGAATATATGTAATTAATTCGACGAATTATTGGCGAAGTTGTAAGGACAAGAGAATTGACTAAGGGGAATCCTACAACTAATTCATTGAGAGACATATCTTTATTATATACTTTTTAATTAGTAGAACTTACTGTATCTTCACTTAATTTTTCTATTAAGATTGAACCGAATGTGGTTTCTTGATTTTCAAGTCTGACTTTATCTTGCTGAGCCAATTTTTTTAAAGCCATGTGGATTCCAGCATTTTCAACTCCCAACACGTCGTTTTCGTTTTCTTTAACCTTCCATTCCGGATTAACTATAACATCAGCTAAGCTCGTATATGCAGCTCCTAATTCTTCACCACTTCCTAAAATACAAATAGGTAATATTCTTCATAGATTATTATGTAATATAATTATACCTGCTTTCACTATAGCTATCATTTTAATAGCTAATGACGGACTTGACAAACAAAATTCGGCATCTTTCGCCACCAATTCTAATAATGTTGGAATAGAATAGCCTAATATTTCTTTTCTTCGAATTTCTGCCGACTTTTTGGACGTTGAAGCTTCCCTTCCATCAGTTATTTCTTTTATAAACAAGGGATGGAAGTTTGTTGAATCAGCTGGAGCAACCAACCATAACAAAACCTACAAACAAAAAAAATGTATTTATTTGTTAATAAATAAAAAATAAAATTTGTTATTAAAGGCCTAATTGTTAAAAATGGTTTTAAAGTACAGAGGAGAATGTGTTCTTGTGGAGTATTATTTTCGCATCATACGGAATCTGTTCCAATTTTGAAGGTTATTGAAAAGTTTAGAAATACGGGTTATGTATTGTGCGAACGAAAAGGAAACTCAAGGCGTCCTAGGACAGTTAACAACAACGATAACCATGAACGTGTTTTTGAGCGAAAATCCGAAAGTTAGCTAGACAAGAACAGCGTTGCACCTTACTCTTAGGACACAAGACTGTAGAATTAATTATGCCACAAAGCACCTTTTCATCTAATTAATCGTCGGTCATACAAGGAGAGAATACCAAGTTTCATTTCAATTTGATCATCATTTACTTGATTTAATTCAAAAGGTATACCCTGTTTATATACCATATATTTCAAGAACTTGTGTTGAACTGTCTCGATTTTTGATATGTAAATATTATAAGATGGAGAACCATACACAAGAACAATACTCTAGATGAGTACTAACTAAAGAACAATATCAGCGAATTTATATCGCTTCAATAATCTGAAAGTCTTTAGTACATCTTTTTATAAAGCCAAGCATTTGTAAAGACTTGGAAATTGTTAACATATAATGCGATTCAAATAAAAGTTTAGAGTCTAAATTAATTCCCAGATCATAAATTTCGTAACCAATTCAACAAGAATGTTCTGTATTTTATAATTATATTTCCACTGGGTCTCTTGATCGTCCAAAAAAGGTTTAGGCGAGACATTTAATATCTGACACTTGGTCATGAGATTTTTGTAACCATACCCTGTTATTAGATTAAACTCCAATAAATCCTTTGGCATCAATGAAGGCTAACAGTTTCGTCATTGTTAATCTCTTATGGTTCAATCCTCAGTTGGCCAGTGAATTCCTGCCTCATATCACTAAGCACACTGCAATAGCATAGGATGTGTATGGCAGTCTCTTCTTCCATTTCGGATTTTCTGCACCATAGCTAATTCACCTTCAGTCAACTATTTTGTATAGGTGTTTTCTTAAATGATAATTCAAGTCACCATTTTGGTGTCCGTTTTATTCTCTCATTTATTGAAAGTCATAAATTGTCCCAGAGTTTTTTATGCATATTCTTGATTATTTTCTTAGTCTGAATTTGCCTTTGTGTGGCTCTCCATTTCTTTTGATGATTACTTTAGTGATTATGATTCTCGCTTGCCATGTACTAGTATATTGACCTAGGCTGTAAAATTGGTGTATTTTAAATCTCAGGATGTTCATAAAGTCTACCACCAAAATATATAATTACAGCAGGAGGAGACCATTGGCACCCACTAAAGATTATGTTCCTATACTACTTAAGGATTCTGTCACATTTAAAAGCCCTTGTCTTTGTAGGATGATGAGAGATGTCACACAAGATTACAAAGCAGTCTTTTTAGTTCTGTATATTTTACCTAAATAAAATCGAAATCTAAAAATATAATTATTGATATTTCTCATATGGGAACCAATTATAATCAGAGATTCACTTACCTTCATTCCCCATTCATTTATCGCCAAATCTTTGGCGTTTTTCAATATCTCAGATACTATAATTTTATGCAGTAATACAGTATCATCAATACAGTCTATTAAAGTTATTATTGTGGCATGCCCATGTTCATGTTTGGATAATTCCACCACATGTTCTTTAACTGCTTTCATTATGCCCTGTGAATTAAAAATGAGTATATTAGTACATTTTGTGTCAGGGTGATTTTCCGGCTTGGTAAGCCAGTACCTAGCCACTAAGCTAAGGCTGCCACATATATAAGTACTTTTATTAGAATTAGAACACTTTAAAAATATTAATGCTAGTATCTGGAAAAATTGTATCAATTAGGTGATTCAAGAAATATAAATATGAAATCAGTGAATGGATATCATAATTAAATCTTTAATAATTTCTGTAAATTCTGCTGACAGTGATAGTGGTGTAACCTAGCAGATCGTAAATAAAATGAAGCAGGTAAATTAGATTATAAATAATTAATTATTATTGCTAAGTTTTTGTTGATCTGGTATAAACACCTAAAGCTAAACTCTAATTAAAATATTAAATTCACTTATTTTATAATTAAAATCTTGAATATATTTTGGTCAGTGTATTCACATTTGGTCATTTTACACTGAGCTATTCAGATTCATTCAAAATTGGCTATGACCAAATTAATGAAGTAAGAAGTTAAAATAAAATCAATAAAATCTCACCTTTCTGTCTTTTGTTGATCCATACCAAATACACTGCATAGCTGCTTTTGCTCCATCTTTACTATTACTAATAACAACAATATGAGGTACCAATTGACTGATCAGTTCACTCCTATCTTCAGCAGAACATTCACTAAGATATTGATATAACACTGTTTGTACTAATCCAGAATCCAAAAGTGATTTGTTCAAGATTTTAGTTAGATTAGCTTTGGTAGCACCTAATAAGAAAATAAGACAAAAGTAAAAAGTCGAAAATAAAAACAAAAACTTATTAACATACAGTTGTCTTATTTTAACCCTTTGCGGACCGAATTAAGTATTAAACAAAAAACTGCAAAGTTATTACAAGTTAGGGATACAGTGATACAAAAGATAACGTCAAGTGTCAATTAAATTTTTTTTATATAAGGGGTGGTTTAGTTTGGAGGTGGTTCCATGGTGGAACCACTGGTACTGATTAGTACTATCTCAATTTTTATAAAATGATAATAAATATTCATAAAGGAGGTAAGTTCACTTTATTTTTTATGATATTCTAAAAAACAATTGATTTTTTCAGATAAACATAGTCCCACCTTACATACAGTGCAATGCCACCTCGTTCGATGAGGTTGGTTTCTTGTACTGCATCGAGCACATCTTACTTTGGTTCCATGTATTGGCATATGCTCCGACTTGTTGGTGCGTATTTCAATAGGAACGCAGATTTTAAATTTATTTACCTCAGAACCGGACGATTTTCTTCCTTTCTGAGTAAGCGAAGGAGTACCCATAAGTCCTGCAGAAACTGCTAACCGAAATTCTTTTAGAGAAAGTGTTGATGCACTACCAGATCGTTCTTTAAAAATAATGAAGGCATTAACAACCGTTAAGTCAACAAAATGCCAGAATATTCTAGGCCACCATTTCTTGGATTTGCGGTTAATTTCGTAACAAGATTTGAGCATATCTGACTTGTCCACATAACCCATATGCTCGTTGTAATCTTTGACCAAATTTTGGCAAGTAACATTTTCTTTGGAGCCATCCTTTTGTTTCCTTGAAATAAGTTTAACATCAGTAGGATCATGAAAATTACTCATAAAATGAACTGCTCTGTTATCCATCCATTTCACAGCAAGTACACCAACATCACTTATCTTCCATTGAGTGTCTCCCCTTTCCATGGTTTTGTCCTCTAGAAAATTACATTCTGACAAATATTTAGTATTAGCTTTTACTGTTCCACATCCATATATATACTTGGATCTAAGTTGTTCCAAAAGATCATACGAAGTAAAATAATTGTCCATAAATATTTTATGGCATTTTCCAGCAAGACTGCTTGTGAGGTCTTTTACAACCCGTGCACCTAAGCCTTTTTCAGGTAAGTTGTTAACTTTACCAGTGTAGATTTGAAATTCTGAAACAAAACCAGATTCATTAGCACGAATCCAAACTTTGTAGCCCCGTTTTACAGGCTTCTTGGGCATATACTGGCGTAAAATGCTTCTACCTTTGAATCTAATCATTGACTCATCTACTGACTGGCATTCACTTGGCTTATAATATCGAATGAAACTGTCAGATAACCTATCGAGCATTGGTCGCACTTTATACAATTTGTCGTAGCCAACTTCACCTTTTTTCGGTTCAAGACTGTTATCATTTAAATGAATATGTCCCAGTAACCAACTGAATCGATTGCGAGACATATAAGATGCAATAAAACCATCACGTAGATCTGTCCTTGAAGACCAGTAATCCTTGTAGCTTGGTAAATGCTTTATTCCCATCAGAATGTTTATCCCAAGGAAACACTTCATTTCTTCGCGATTAGTGGGAGTAAATTTGTTAGCATTTCCCTGATTCATTTGGGTTGCATAGAGATTTGTTTGAAATACTAATATATCTAACAGCTCCTCTGAAAATAACAACATGAACAACTCCAACGGATCTTCAAGTAAATCCGGTATGTCAGGACCCACTTTGTCAACAAAAGATGAAGGTGTCTTGTAATAAGTTTGAATATTATCTGACCATTTGACAATCTCATTTTTCTTTGCATGTACATTATTATTTTTTTTCCTTCCAGTTTGTTTTTGTTTTGTAAGCTTTCTTTTCCTTTTCACAAAAACAGATAGCGGCGTACAATCATCCGAATCACTGAAAACACTTTCGTTATTTTCTTTTTCATGTTCACCTTCGTCAACCATTTGATTCATTTCTTCCAATGAGTGTTGAGTGCCCGGGATGCCGTTATCTGGTTCACTATTTCCAAGATCCTCAACATCAGAATCAATATCTGACGCTTCTGACTCTCCGTCAGATGGTATTTCCTCAATCAAAGCAAATACACCATCATTACCCATAACTTCTAAATTATTTATTGTCCATTGTTTTCTTTCTGTAATAAAAATGAAAAAAATGTTCAGGAACTGTAAAGTCTTTCAAATCCCGTATCAATATATTACCCCTCCCCAACCTTTAGTCCTACAAGCCATCCTGCAAGGAAAAATATTTGGAAAGCGAGGAGCTCCAGGAAGAAGAAGAACATCCTGGTTAAAGAACCTCAGAACTTGGTTCAACACAACATATGTACAGCTTTTCCGCGCTGCTGCAGATAAAATAAATATTGCCATGATGATCGCCAACATTCGTCACGGATAGGCACATCAAAAAGAAGAAGAACCTTTAGTTCAATTTTTAGACAGCCACGGTACACAAAGTATTTAGACCTTCTGCTTTCGTTGTCTGTCCCAAAATAAAAAACAACAACAAAAAATAATAAAAAGTACTTGTGGGTCCATACGGAACCACACCTTTTAGACGACTTGAAAATATAAAATATACAAAAATATCAGAATAAATTGTATACGATCTCTTTAATAACCATCAAAATTACCTAATTTAGCTGTTCTTACCTGCCATTATCAATTTGTTTACGTTCAGTAGAAATTTTAGTAGTTGGCGCGCAAAATAGCGAAAAACGTGTCACATCAATCACCTACTAGAACACACTAAAGCGCTCCAAAACCTGATCGTATGCATGGCCGATAGTGTAAGAGAGGGGATTAAAGAATTTGTCTGTGGTTCCGGCCGACGCTTACCGGGACAGTAGGATAAAAATTCTTGAAATTGTGGTTCCACTATGGGACCACTGGCCCACAAAGGGTTTAATAAACACTTCCAAGACACAGCATTTTGGCATTAGATGTGCTATCAAGGACCAGTGAGTTTGAAATATTTAAGTTAAGTGTTTTTCATAAATACTATGTAAATAAAATTTATTTCTTAAAGTGTCAACCATTTGAGCATTTACCTTAATCATGTACCAAATTACTTGGAACAAAGTTTTAATAACACTTCAATAAAACAATTAAAATTAAGAAAATACAATAAATATTAATATTCATCAAACAAATTAGCACACATAAGGTTTGGTTTTCCAAAAATTTAATGGTATGAAATAGCTGTAACATTCTTACTGGACATCAGTAACTTGCTGTTATGATTCTTTTGCAATATACTGCAAAAAGCTGAAAACTAACTGTACATGACTGTCATGTCAATTCACTTACTGAGGGATGAAATACATATTTTATTCTATATTTTATAACATTTGAGGGATTGGCAAAAATGTTTACAGTTTTGTCAATAATTTATAACCTTATAGTAAGAATTTACTTTACCATTTAATTCGCAATATATAGTTTGAATGAACTGATTTTTGTTGTGTATTATGCTTGAAAAATGCCAAAACAACTCGAGTAGTTGCAAAGAGCTCATTCTTTTTTGTTAATAGATTACTTTGAACAAGAACGAAATAATGGTAGGCCTCTACTACTATTAACTGCAGTAAGAGATGAGAATTAAAGAATTAAGAATATAATATATTTATGTATTACATTGTTTTCTATTTATTTTAGCCTGTCGCTGCGGCCTTAAACCTAAGTGTATCTAATGTTCATATTTCTCAAGCTGTCAAAAATAATGAACTTTTTAAATCACCTCCTAAAAAACAGTCTTACAAAAAACTATAACTAATACAGAAATGTTGAATGTGAGTATTATTTGTGATGAGACTTATGATGAGACAATTTCGCTGAGAAGCATTAATGTCACATCATTATGGACATTTTAAAGAATTGGGTTACAAATGGGAAAAATTCACTATGGGATAGACTTATGGAACTCCCTAATATTGATGCAAAAAGAACTTTATTTTTAGAAAATTATATTATAGAAAAGGAAGCAACTTTGTGTAAGTGTGTTTTCATTGATAAAACATGGATCTTCCAAAGTAGAACTATAGGGTATTCAAGGCAAAATGAAGTCAAAAGATGTGTAAGAAATACAAAAACAGATGGTATATGTTTAGTTACATTAGTCAATTATTCATTACTATCAGCATTGGGTTGATTAAAGTTATAAAACTGTACATTTTTTACAGATATAACAAATGATGGTATACTAGTTCACGTTTAGAAAATAACATTGGGAGATAGGGCCTGTATTTCTTATGGACGATAGCAACGCGGCGTTGCCACGACACACACAAGCACAATTTAGGGTTGTATAATTTGTATTTTCGTTTCCACAAAACATGAATTAAATTAATGTTTTTTAACGTAATTGACCAAAAGTGCCCATTCGAAACAAGAGATGAAAAGTAGGGAAAATGATTTTAATTAGATAAATAGTATTTACAAAGATATAATTTTATTTTTATCATTATTTTAATTATAGTAACGACAGTTTATTTGTTTTTACGGTGAGAATACGATATGCCATGAATCATAGAAATCAGTAGAAAATATTGACCGCTTGGAATGGTATATCATCTAATTACTAATTGCAACTTAAAATAATACTGATGTGCGTATGTCAGCTATTTTATGTCGTTCTCTGACTACATAATGATATATAAGGCTTTTATTTAGTAGTTATTCTGACTTTACAGTTAAATGTTAATTGAAATGAAAATTCAAAAATTAAGCAAAGGGAATATCTTGGACATCCGTGCAAAAGAGAGTGTCTGAGAGTTTTGGCAACACTGATCTCCATAAGCGTAATGTTATTTTCTTAACTTGAAACAAAGAATAGTAATGTGAATTTATTAATCGTGCACAAGCAATACTTATATTCTTCAATAACCCAAAGTAGAAAACAAACTTACCATAGAGAAATGAATAAAGATAACTTCCTTTGTGCTAACTTACACTTTTCATGTTATATATCAATAATAAACAGGGATAATTAAAAATATGTAAAAATTTAACAAAGAGCAAAATTACCTAAATTGGCATCTTTTAAACCTGGATTATCTTTATATGTATCTCTTAGATGTTTGACATTGTTATCCTTGGTGGATCTGTAAAGGTCTCCATAAAATTCTTGCACCAAATACTGCTTTTGTAAAGGAGTGGCCCATGTGGAAAAAGCATATTCTACAAGTGGAGCGCTAATAGTATATGTTGATAGTTTCACAGCATGACCAACCATAGCATCTATAACTTGAGATCTTATTTCACTCTTGCCATATTTTAAAAGTCGTTTCACACAATGGATACCATACTTCGATTGTAACATACTTACACTGACTGGAATGAGTTCCTACAAATATTTTATATAGTCTATGGCCCAGAAAGATATATCAATAATTAAATGTTTACAATATGTTAAAATATAATACAGTATACTCTCTCTATAACGAACACGGTTATTACGAGGTTTCGCTTATAACGAGGAACATTAGATGTCCCGTGAAATTTCTATTGAACTATAACACTCTATAGCGAGGCAAATTTGGTTATAACGAGAGAAAATGGGATTGAAAAACTGGTTTTTTACGTTTTTGGCCCTGCCGTGGCTATAAATAAATACCTTTTTAACTGTCGCCGCAATAAACTTCTTACAATTTATGATTCTTACTCGGAAATTTACAATTTATGATTCACAAGTGTCATTGTAGGGGGTTGACCATGTTGCACCTAATAATATAGGTCCATAGAGACAAGATGTGGAAAGTGTTTTAAACATTGTCAGAAATTTATCCAAAGACAAAACACAAAATGAAGAAGCATAAGAATGTTTCACATCTTTTGAAAATATAATAATACTGGACAATTTAAAGCAATCAAAAATGACAGAATTCTTCCAATTGCAGAAGCAATAGTTTATGTTATTCTTGAAAATATATGCTTTTTACAGATTTACAGAATAAATATTTTTTGTTTTAACATATATCATTGACAATAAAAGTAAATAACTTTTTTTCAAAAACGCCATTCAAACAATATTTAGCATCTTATATTGCTTCGAATGGCTTCACTATAAGACATTAATGTTTTAGAAAACTACATATTCGTATGTATGCACAGTATTATTTTTGTTGGATATAACGAAGGTCAGTTATAACGAGGTAATTAGTCTGCCCTTTCAGTTCTCATTATAGAGGGAGTCTACTGTAGTTGATTTTTCAAGTAAATTTGTGTCAACATTACTATGAAGCAAATATTTACATTATGATAAAACATATATTACTCCCACAGAGGACAACTCTACTAAGGAAAACCAAATAAAGTGGCTATCTGACAATATTTAAAAATAGTGTGGAGAAAGAAAGAAGAAAACTCGATTAAAAAAATAACATTTTTGCAGTAAAAGGGCAAAAATTGGGAATTGAAGAAAAAAAATGAAAATATTAAATAAATAATTTAAAACATAAGCATCAAGCAAAAAAGAAAAATATAACATACTATCTGAAAAACAATAATATGGAAACAACTGAATTAACAAGTTTGAAAGATGCAAGAATTTCAAGCAATAACAAACAAAAGAAAGAAAAATAAAGTAACACAAAATTTAATGAGCAAAATAAGTGAGAATAGAATAACCAAAAAAATACCATTTACTATTTAACAAGAATAATTGATTCTAAATAAGAATTTGCAAGATTTTGTCATAAATAATAGACAAAAAACTGTTGCAAACTTCTTTTTTTATATACTTACTTTTGATATTTGATTAATGACCAAATCTGATGCATATTTTAAAAGCCATTGGACAATTCTTGCAGTATCATGTGCAAGAACAAACTTAGGATAATGTCCTCCTCCTTTTAAAAGACTGTGCAGCTCATTTATCAGTTGAATCCTTTTTTGTTCTCCCCCATTAAGAGTTTTTTTCCTTAATTCCTCACCGATTCTTTTCGCTTTTACTATTACATCAAATCCAACTTTGTTTTGTTTTCTTTTGAGTTGCAGTTCTTTCTTTTTCTTTTTAAATTCAGTCCAGTTTTCAAATATTTCTGGTTTATTTTTATTGTTATCAGACTTTCCTAAAACAAAATTATTATTCATTGCAAGTAGAGCATACCTTACAAGTAAAACAATTTAGTTGAAGTAGTATGTAGTATGATAGTAGTAGTAAAGCATACAAACTGTTTTTACCTTTAAAATTATTGTTAGAAGTAAATTTAGAGTTCGGTTTTTTAAAAGTTTTTGGTGCTGACTTCTCGGTTTTACTATGATTTATACTACTTTGGACTGATTTCTTTATCTTTTTAGATTTAGAATCTGTTGTCCCATCTTTTTTAAATTTCTTCTTAGGTGGACCTACTGTAGGTTCACTGTTCGCGTTTTTAGTTGTCATATCGGTTAATAGTAAATATTTCTACAAAACAATTAAACCAAACAGCAATGAATTTAATTTAATAAGTTGTTATTTTAAATTACACTCTCACACACTATCAACATTCCCTATATTATAAAAACACGTGTGATTAATGACATATGAATTATAGGTTATGTATGGTTATTGAGGATAATGTGGCTGCATACCTTTAACCAAAGATAATGGTAGATGGTAGACCAACAGCCTGACGTGAAGTTTCAAAATGAACTACTGTGACTGTGCCTAGACGGTCCTAGATTAATCCTAACCCTACTTTTACATATGAGAGGATAACATTTTTTTTGTATTTTGTAGTACAAAATAATTTATCAAAATGGGAAGAAAAATTCCTGGACGTAAACATCGAGGAGTTCGAGATCCAGAAAAGCAGGCTGCCGTAAGATTCGAAAGGTACCATAATCATTAATAATATTTTATCATTTTAACCAGCATGTTTTAGTATAAAGAATAAAATTAATGCTCCTCCTACAAATCCTGATCATCAAGAAGTTTCAAAAACCCTTCAAAGGATTATAGATTTGAAGAATAAGACTAAAAGTGGAGAATTGTTTAAGCGAAACAAACAGCTTAAAGTGGAAGAAAACAACAATGGAAATAATGAAAAGCCCAAATTCAAAGAAAAAAATAATGGAAATAAAAAAAGTAAAAAACCTTTTGAAAGGATACCTGAAAAGCCAGTACGAAAATTTGTGCAACTTCCTGGCGAAAGTGATAGAGCTTTTGTCCATCGTATGAATAGAATATGTACTGAAACAGTGAAAGAAGCTGAATTTGAGGATAAATATGGTGTTGATATTAAAAGGAATGAAGATGGAGAGGTAAATAGTCTAAATTTAATGTATCCTTCAGTGTAATAAAACTTATTAAGAGCATTAATCCTTTATTAAAGATAAACTGATGATAATAATTTGATTACTACAAAAAAACACATACACACAGGTAGCATAAGACAGTAGAATCCTATCTAAGGACTAAATTACCTTATATATTATACTTTCAATGTTTTAGGTGGAAGAAGTAGTAAAAAGGCAAAAAGATGAGCTAGAATTATTGCTTAAAAAAGTGAAGAAAAAGAAACAGAAGGAAGAGAAAGATGGTAAAAAGAAGAAGAAAAAGAAAAAGGACAAACCAGAAGCTCCAAGATTATCAAAATGGCAAAAGAGAAAAAAGAAGTTAGATGAAAAGCAGCAAAGAAAAGAACTTGTGAATGTTGATGAATTTAAAGAATATAAAGACCATGTTAAGTTTGGGGAAATAGCTCATGCCCCACCTTCTTTAATAGCACCAAGAAGAGCAGAAAAGCTACAATCTGCACCTAGAGTAAGTATGCAGTGATGCAAGATGTTTGTCATATCTTTTATATTTATGGGAGAGAGAGAGAGAGAGGGGGGGGATATATTTTGAAGCCTTAAAAACATATTTATATAAAAAAAAACTTTTCAGCCTGGAAACAAAAATTTGCTGTTAAAATCTGTGATTAACAAATCACCAGAGGAAGGAACTGTGGAATTGAAAAAGAATAGAGATAGTATAAACAAGACTAGCAAGGTGATAGATAAGAAAGGCAAGCGAAAAGAGCTTCCAAATTCCTTGAGGAGACAATTGGATATACAGCAGAAGGAAATTATAGAAGCCTATAAAAAAATTAAGGCCCAAAAATATAACAAATGAACTGTGTAATAAATGATTTCTTGTTTTTATTATTAAATATTTTATTAATAACTTTTAAGTATATTACTATTTTATTATGACTCCTATACTTAACTATTGCTTGTGTCTTGGAAAAAGTTATTTAAATAGCTGTTATCACAATGTAAGGAAAATATGGTAAAGTGAAGCCTTAAGAATCATATTGAAACAAGACGACATCATCCATGATACAGATCTGTTTAAGCCACATATGTCAAAAATAAATATAATAAGGTCCTATACTCCACTCGCTTAGCTCGGGCATATTTTAACAGATTCATTGTTGGAAACCTACAACAGAACAATTCCTACTTCTCAGTATTAATAACTCAAGTATACTACTATTGCAGACTTCTTTCTTTGAAAAAAGAAGAATTATTCTAAATAGTGGAAGTGTATACTAAACCCATCAAATTTTGGGTAGTATATATTTAAAAAATATATTTTAGTTGTTATAATTTAAGATAACTATTTATTATATGGTGCAGATAAATAAGTATTGATTGTCAGTAATTCGCAAAGTTCTATTTTATTTACTATTTAGTTTGTTTACTATTAATATTGGCTATGAGTATGTGTGCTTGGTTGTATAGTAATTTCCAGCCACTTTTAGTCTGTCAAAAAGTAACTAACTTCGCAAAAAAATAATTACTAAATTCACTAGACAGTTCGGACTGGGAATAGCAAATTCCAAGCAGAAATTTTGTTATATAAAGTAATTAAAATAAATCAATACATTTTTTGAGTTATAGATCTATTCATACCTTGATCAGAGTGCTGCATATTTAATTGGGCATCGATTACATGATTTATCTCACAATATAAGCGACCAAAGCGATTTTTCAGTCATGACACATTAATTACTATTAAACTGTATTCCAAAATTTGTAAAAATATAATACATTTTTCAGGCCACCCTTAAAGTCAGGCCACACGAGGTACAAGAATGTGTATGACATGTTGCGTTTGGTCATATTGATGATTCTGATATTTGACAATATTTGAATTGTCAATATTTTTATTTGTAATTAAATTATACACAAATACTAAAATCCAAATTTTCACAAATACTACTACTAGTGAACAGTAAATAGTACTTTGTAAACAATAAATTATATTGTTACAAAGCAATAAAATTGATGAAATGTATTCAGTTCACGAAAAATCGCAATAATTGATTCAGGCAATAGTGCGAGCACTTCCAGATCTTTATTTAACACAAGATATCATAATACACTCCAATTCAATTCCAGGTTATACAACAATTCAAAGAATTTCAATATAGTTTTACTGTGATCCTTCCTAATAATAATTTATGATAATTTCTAAACATAAAACTATAACAAATGTTCAAACAATAAGCCATTTTGTACTAAGCAGTATCCCACTCGATTGTAAAATTCTCGTCTAACATTAGCCAGAATGCGTGACGTTATTTTTGCACACTCTTCAATAATTCAGCCTTTTTAAAGTTTCAATATCTGTAAATTTTTGGTCAAATAGATTTTTGATTTTAAATGCCCCAGATAAAATAATCGTTTGGAGCTAGATCTCCCGATCTCGGAGGCCACTTAATATTACAGTCAGGTCCAATCAAACAATTATTAAAGCTGTTTTTAAGGAATTCCTTAACCTCCCAGTTATTATGCGCAGGGCAGCCATCCATTTGAAACCAAATTTTTTCTTCATCTGGAACTAATTCTGCAAGTCTATGTAAAATTTCTTCTTGTAGCAAGTCTAAAAACTTTTTTGAATTAAATTTTCCTCATAGAAAAATGGTCCAATAATATTGTGTCTAAATATTCCTAACCAGACATTTATTTTTCGACGATATTGGGTATGGCTTTCAATAATATTCTCAGGCTTTTTTGTCGATCAAATCCTATAATTTTGAACATTTGGTTCATTATTTAATGTAAATGTACATTCATCACTAAACAAAATGTTTTTTAAAAATTGTCTGTCTGCATTAGCCTCTCTAACATTTCATAACAAAATTCCGCTCGTCTTTCAGCATCTCCTCTCTTAGTTCTTGATGACATTGGAATTTATAAGAACGGAATTTATTCCTTTTCAAAATTTTTAAGCCGTAGAGTTATGAATATTTAACTGATCTGCAATGGTCCGAGAACTTATTCTAGGATTTTCTACAACTGCTGTTAATACATTTATTTCATTTTGATTTTCTAAATTTTTTGGTACTTCAGCAATATTGTTTGTACAGGTACAATTAGAAATCACGGTCCCAGTATTTTCAAACTTTTCTAAAATCCTTAGAATTGTTGAGTGACTTGGAATTGGTCTATTGGGATATCTTACGCTAAATAAAGAACTGACAATTCGCGCACTATTGCCAGAATAAAACATTTTTATTATTGCTACTTTCTCCTCGACTGAATACATTTTTTAATAAACTATGTTGTTTTTTAAACAATAAATCACTAAATTAAAATTTTGGCAATTCAAATATTGTCAAATATTAGAAACATAAATACGACCAAACGCAACATGTCATACACATTCTTGTACCTTGTGTGGCCTGACTTTAAGGGGTGGCCTGAAAAATGTATTATATTTTTACAAAATTTTGGGATACATTTAATTCGTAGAACGATTTTAACATTTGTTTTTAATACATATTTTAGTTCTTACAAATAGTTTCCTATGAATTTTGTTGTAAAATAATTAGGGAAGCAGGAATTCAACAACTTATATATTTAATATAGCTAGTTGTAGACTGGCATTATAACCCTATGTTGATATAATAGCCAACTCTTTTTAGTGGTAATAGTTATTGTAAAATATTAATCCTAGAAAGTGCTAGAGGGGCAAATTCCAAGCAAAATTTGTTATATAAAGTTATTAAAATAAATCAATACTTTTTGAGTTATAGATCTATTCATACCTTGAACAGAGTGCTGCAATTCAATTGGTGCATCGATTACATGGTTTATCTCACAATATAAGCGACAGCTTTTTTCATGTCATGAACACATTGATGTGATAAGTCGCTATGACGACAACATATTTTGTCTCATTGATCACATTGAACCGACCACTACAGCATAGTCTGAAATGGATTCTTCAGAATCGGAGGAAGATTTGATCTTGCTGGTTTCAGCCTGACATTTTCCAGAAAGTTTTATCAAGCTTGCATATGATAGAAACAATAAATCTGTTAAGTCATTTTCTGTTTTTTTTTTCTGCTTTCAAAATAACTAATAATAGAGTCAACTGAAGTTGTTGGTTTCATATTTTGTACATTTCTCACTTTTTGTTTTTTTGGTTCTGATTCTACAATAGGGGTGGTGACATTAGCACAAGTAGCACTCTTTATTTTTGCGAAAATGCGTTTAGCATTTTACCAACCAATTGTTACGCACCAATGTGTTGGTTCTCGTTATGGATATGACCATTCGTTCCGCGAAAATTACATTGCGATGTTATCGTCAATGCACCAAATTAATTGCAGCAATCTGTTCATACCTTTAATCCCAATCCGACCATCTTACCTGGTATTGACATTAGTGAAAACAGCAGGTTTTCATATCGTTCAAAATTATTAAAAATAAAAGAATACAAGTAAGAAATTAATTAAACTTTATTTATAAAAAAAAAACATTAACATTGATAAAGAACAAAAAACTATTTCTAATTACAAAAGATCACAAAAGAATACTGTATGACAACAAATGTAATATATTATATTTGTAAGAAAGGCTCAATCACGTACAATTTGTACTTTTTAGTCTTATAAACATATTTTTTATACAAATCTTAATGTTTTAACTAAATCTTTTAATTATTAAATCGAGTAATTTTCAATGGAAAAAACAATAGTATGGCAAATAATAAATCCACACTCACAAATATTCAACGTTTTGAGCAATATTCTTACAAAGTATTTATTAATAACATACAAAACATTATTATTATGATAACAACATTACTACATTTAAATACTATGATATATCACAGTTTTTTTAATATTGTATAACCAAAACCAAGGAACTGTTTAATTCTTACATTCTCAATTTAGCATTTAACAAAGAAAATAAATAATTCTTTTAAATCTAAAGAAAGATTTTTTCTAAAACTACAAAACGAACAGTAGGTAATCTGAATCTACAGATTGAAATCATAAAATGTAGTACGAATATAAAGAATAAAGAAATATCAAACATGTTTTAGTATTTTAGTGTTAAAAAAAACTAAATAAAGAGTTTAGCATGAAAAATTGATATTGATTTATTATGAGGTTTGTCAAATCTGCCCTTTTCAGTACCAACTATTCTAACGAGTCTCAATAAATATTTACACAGAGGGCTGAATTACGCCAAACCTAGGATATTCGGTAAGAAGTTGATCACTCATAGGCCACATGATAAATATGGAAGTGCTATCTTTGCTTGACCTGAATCTGACCATAGAAATTATTACTATCAGCTCCCTGGGGAAGATTTCATGTTCACAGAACCTGACAATTTTAACTACCATAACAGCAACTTCATTCTTGGAAATTTTAATTATCAAAGTACTGCAGCGCTAGGTGGAAGAGATGATACAATCCGAACAATATTTTTGTATCTAGCCAAATAGCAGCTCAGTGTAAAAAGAATATCGGAGACGCAGTTCTCTGCATCCAACACAAATCACTCGTTTGTATGATAAGCGCTATAAGCAACGCCATTTAAAGAGATTTAATTAAAAAAAAAAACAAATTAGGAAAAATTCCGTGTGGTACCGCACTCACTATGTTCAAGAATTAACTCTAGGTAATCTACCCATTGCTGAACCGGTATCAAAACTATATGATGAAGACCCTTTTAGTGATGATACTATCAGAGCTGGAGAAATATTACTTGTTACCATCTCAGACGAACGAATATTCAAGTGGTGAAATCTCATAAAAAATATGAACCTAATAGTAGATCTGCTTGAAAACTACTGAAGAGTCTTAGCTAGGATCCTAGTGAAAGAGCAAAAAATTACCCTAACGTCACAACTCGTTAAAAATGGTGAAACGTCAGGAAAAAGAGGCAAAGAAACACTTAAATGTGAGAGGACGAAACCAGTCAGTCGACCGAACCTTCTTCAACGATGCTGGGCTTAGATCCGCTATCCACATTTCCGGGATTAAAGGATTCCATTTATAAAAATCCGGGTATTAAAGATCTACGCACAGAGAAATTAAGAAGTTTGTACCAAAAACAGTACAATGACTCCTCCAGATGATCAACAGTTCTGTTCAAACTATACAGATACTTAATGTCCTGAGACAAGCTTAAGTTGTTGCCTTGCTTAAATCTGGCAGATCACAATGACTCCAAAAGTTATCGGCCAATATTTTGCTCTGCCACATATTAAAAATACTAAGCGCATGATCCTTAATAGAATTTCAATCAGAATAAACGAAAAAATCATAAAAGAACAAAGTGACTTTAGACCGGGAAGATCATGTACATCACAAATACTACATCTTACCCAACGCATCGAAAACGGGGCACGGGCCAAGAGAACATAATGGCCCGTAACTGTATAGATTAAGTCAGACAACAAAAATAATTGTGTGGAAATCTGAACGGCTAATTGATAGCAATCATGAACGGCAATGAGTTTGAAAACTAAATATAAAATTTTCATCAAGGTTTCCCTGATATGAGTCAATAAAACTGGAAAAATAACAGGACAGGTAAGTATAACATTGTAAAAACTGCTTTTCCGTTGTTTTAATTCACAAGTGCACAAAAACATCAAAAATATGCATTCGCATAATTAATTAAGAAAGAAAAAGCATAGAAAAATATAATAAAATGCTAATAGCGTCTTATAAAAAATATTTAGACAAAGAGGACAACATAATAAAAAAAAGAAGCAATATGAACAGAAAGAAAAATTCTTAAATGAAAACAAAATGAAACAGCGAGGTTATGTTCCTTCAATCTTTATACTAAACAAGTCTCTATGAGATGCTCTTGAAGATGTAGGTATATAAATGAAAATGGAAAATTGAAAAAAAAAATCCGCTAAGCAGTTAATGCTGCACTCAAAAACTGTATATAAATGTCAAAAAACAAAATAAATCTGCCGCTATACAAAATGTATCCGATGGTTATGTTCAAATGTTGGTAATGTAATCTAGAATAAACTATAAGAGGAAAAAAACAAAAATTGTAGGCCGATTCTTATCTATTTCCAAGTTATACAGTGACAAAGTTATAGTCAAAATTGTTTTCAATTTATCTTCCATATTTGTCACACAACGATAGGCAACAATTAGTATTTAGGAAGCAAAATATCTGAACAATACTAGGGAAATCATTGAATACATTACAAAACGAAAAACAGTCTCGTTAAGCCAGGTAGTTTGAGAAAAACGCTACAGGTGACGATAGAAGTAAAAAATCTACAGGAAAATGCATACCAGATAGCTAAACAATATAATAGCTTAGGAATAATAGGTATTGTATCGAAATAAATCGAAAAACACTTTTCGAAAGTATGGTTTGGTCTCATGTAGTATCTTACCAATCTCCACTGATGTCAATACTCTAAAAGAAGATAAATTACTACTGGATATGAAACTGTTAGAACAGTTAAATGTAAGTTTATGATTGATATTTCTGGAATTATAACAGTCCATTCATACTACTATCTTCCGTTCTATTTTTTTAAATGTCTTGTATTCTGTACTGATATCTAGAAAATAGCTGTTCATACAAAGAATTAACAATATCTTTGTACAAAACCGGATTGACGTTTTTGCCGAATTTGTACAATACAAAAAAGTCTCCATAGGAGATTTTCTCAATAATAAACTCTGCTTTTTTTCTATCCATTTTTCGAGTTTGAGCTCTTAACAGGTATGTCCTAAATGAAGGAAGAAATACAAACAGTCCCCTGTAGACAACACATAACACAGAAATAATTAATAAAAGATAAAACCAGTACCACAGGATAAGGAAGACCTTTTCATTTAATACATTTAGAGGTAGTATACAGAGAGCATCCAAAAGTTGAACATCTCCGGAAGGTCCGTATTTGTAATAGGTACACTTAGCGATTTTTGGAAAAACTCTGTTCATGGGATTAATAGTTTTATAAGTAGCATGGTTTATTCCATATGCAGAGAATTCTCCTGTTACCAACCAGTCCATGAAATAGATGTTTGCTATCTACATAAAGAAAATTCAAAAATAATTCTGTGAAACAATGAAAAAATTAAATAAACAAATAATTCGACGCCGAGTGAACAAAGTTGGAAACCCGACCTTCTTTGATTTCATTAAGTTATTAAATTTCTATTCTCCCTAATATCTTCAAGGTTTTTTAGTCCAGATTTCGTAGAAAATTTTAGACAAACAACACAAGTTTCATAATTTTTTTAACAGATTTTTCGTTTTTTTTTTTTTATTAAAAACTAGTAACTAGAACTATTAAAACTATATAATTACTAAAAATAGCGAAATATATATAAAAAGATTTTGAGACTGTTTTCTTGTGGCACATAGAAATAAATATTATATTTCTACGGGATTAAGCCGGAATTAATTGTAATGCAAATTACATTTTATAGTTGCTATTTGTAGCTTCAATTCGCGAAATCCACATTCCGACTTAAGCAGCCGACGAGTAAAGACATATGAACTCAGGCGATCTTGGCAAAACTTTTATTTTTCTCGACAACCGTTGTAATCTTAAAATAAAAGTTTAAAGGTGCTAAAGAGATGTCAAGCTCTAGGTAAGAAGAATACTGTAAAAAACTCGCAGATCGAAATGGAAAAGTGGTAACAGATAAAGATAAAATAAATAAGGTAGTTGAAGAATTTTACACAGAATTATATAGAGAAAGGGGTAAGAAAGACGACACCAAGTTGAGAAAAGTCCAGAATGTGGGTTCAGAGGATATCCCAGAAATAACAATCGAAGAAGTCTCAAAGTCATTAAATCAAATGAAAAACAATAAAGCAGCTGGTGATGACCAAATCGTTATTGAAGCAGTTAAAGCAGGAGGAAAGACAGTATTGAAAGCATTGACACAATTATATAACTTATGCCTTTCAAAAGAGGTTACACCATCTCAATGGAATAAAGCTGTTATAGTAGTCATGCACAAAAAGGGAGATATAACAGAGCTAAAGAACTATAGACCTATTAGCTTGTTATCTCACGTTTATAAGTTGTTTATGAAGATAATAACTAATAGGTTGACATCAAAACTAGACTTCTATCAACCTTGCGAGCAAGCAGGATTTAGAGCTGGATACGGAACAAATGATCATTTGCAAACCATTAAGTCGTTGATTGAAAAAACCATTGAATATAATAGACCCCTGATACTTGTCTTTGTCGACGTTGAAAAAGGTCAATCAAAGTGAAATGCTCCAAGCTCTAACACAATGTAGAATAGATCACCGATACATATCTCTCATCAGATACATCTATCAACATGCTACAGCCTGTGTAAGACTTAATGAAGATACTAGGACTTTTCGTACTGAAAGAGGCGTTCGGCAAGGAGACAACATGTCTCCTAAATTATTTACAACTTTGCTAGAATACGCTTGTAAAACAATAGATTGGAACGAAAAGGGCATCAATGTAGATGGAAAATTTTTAAATAACCTTAAATTTGCAGATGATATCGTTCTTATTGCAGACAGCTTTGATCAGGCACAGATAATGCTCCAAGAACTCCATACTGCCACAAAAAGAGTTGGTCTTAAAATAAATTTTTCAAAAACACAATTTATGACAAATTTAGTCCACAACAAAAACATCTCAGTAGAAGACAAAGATATTGAGCCAGTTGACTCATATAAATACTTGGGCTATGAGATCAGAATAAGTCGAGACAACCAAACAATCGAGCTGAAAAGAAGAATAAACCTCGCTTGGGCTGCATTTGGAAGGATGAAGGATATTTTTAGGTCTAAGATTCCAATGTGTTTGAAAAGAAAAGTATTTAATCAATGTATTTTGCCAGTGATGACCTACGGCGCAGAAACCCTAACGTTCACAAGAACAACAGTGAGTAAACTACAAGTTGCGGAAAGAGCAATGGAGAGAATTATGTTAGGGATTTCTCTACGTGATAGAATACCCAATGCTACTATACGCAAAAGATCAGGAGTAGCAGACGTTATTGAAAGGACAACAACACTAAAGTGGAACTGGGCAGGTCATGTAGCAAGATCAGTTGATGACCGATGGACAAAAAGAATTTTGGAATGGAGACCCCGAATACAAGCTTACAGAAATAGAGGTCGACCCCCAACGAGATGGACAGATGACATAAAAAGAGTGACTACAAATTGGATTCAGATGGCGCAAAATCGGACTAAGTGGAAAAGCATGCGAGAGGCCTATGTTCAGCAGTTTACGTTAGAGGCTAGTTGATGATGATGATCTTGGCAACGATAGTTGTTATCAGTAAAAACGTGTTAGTCTTTCTTGTTATTGTTTTCTTATCAATGGACATCGTTATTTCGTTTTCTGTGTAAATACAAAACGATATGTGACAATTTCACCGAAACAATAATTTAACGTTAATAGTTCAAAAGTGCATTGGTAAATTTGACTTTCCAGTAATTCAGGTAACTGTTATTTTTAATCCTTTAATCCACAGAGTCCCACTAGGACGTCTGTTGCATTAACAATAAAAATTTATGTGTAGTGGTTTTGGTATCCAGAATCGCTCACTAAAATGACCTCAATTACTACTCAAATGACCTCACAAAATAACACAATCAATAATACCAAGTCTTATGTTGCTGCCACTTTATCTAAACCTCCACCTCCTACGTTTCCTCATAAAAATCAAGCCATTATCTTACATGCTCTTCCTAATGTCGTTCTATTTGAGTATATAAAAGCTATAGAAGACATCGTTACCCCAAAAAATATCATCTTTGCGTCTCGAATCTCAAATAACCGCATTTGTATTTATTTAAACTCTGTTAAACTAATCGACGATCTTCTCAGTGCCCACCACTATTAACTTAACAGTTGTTCCTATCCGAAGACTTATAACACCTGCTAAGCATATTCTCATATCAAAGGTATCTCCCATGATACCTCACAGCACTATCGAAGAAGCTTTAAAAGATATCGGTTTACAGATAGTCTCTCCTGTGTCATTCGTGAAATGTGGCTCGCTAGGTGACGCATATGCACATATAATGAGCTTCCGAAGAGTGTCATACGTTATTCGGATAAAGAAAACTTCTCAGTCCAGACCTCTCTTTTATTAACTCACGACAACAGTTCATATCGAATATTTGTGTCTACTGACAAATTAGAATGTTTTTTATGTAAAAAAGGTGGTCATACTGCTGAAACTTATACCAATGAACCGATTTCTGTAGCCCAATCCGAACTTCCCTCTCCCACTAGCTCCGTATCCATACCCTCAAATACAACGATACCCGAATACACTCCCAATCAAATCAATGCACCATCCACATCTTACTCCGAAACTACAACTAACGTCGCAGAAAGCATTCCCTTAGTTACACAGGTAGCATCCCCTCCAGTGCAGAGACAGAAACGGGCTATATCCAGTGACAGTATTGCTGGCACCCCTTCTCAACTTTCTCCAGTTCCTACTCCAGAACCAACTATCAATTAAATGCCTCCCCCCTTATCTGTAAAATCTACCACTAATTCTTTTAGCAAGCGCAAAAGAAAAAAAGTAAACAATAGTAACAGAAGAATATAAATTGACCCCATTTCTTATAATGCAGTCCAAGCTATCTATAAAAATAATTTATCCGAACTAACTCTTTACTGAAACGACTGTACAAACGACCATCTACAAGTTATTAAAAGCCTCATCGAAAAATGTATAGAGTACAATAAACCCCTCGTCCTAATATTTGTGGATGAGAAAGCATTCGACACAGTAAACCACCAGAAAATGCTAGAAGCTTTAAAAGAGTGCCGAAATTAGATCACCGCTACACCACTGTCATCAAAAATATCTATGATAATGCCACGGCATGCGTCAGACTCCATGAAGATACACACAAGTTCAACATTCATCGTGGAGTTCGCCAGGGCGACACCATTTCACCAAAACTGTTTACAACATTATTGGAATACATGTGTAAGCGTGCAAACCTAGACGAAAAGGGCATAAACATAAATGGAGAGCAGCTTAGTCACCTCAGGTTCGCGGACGATATAGTCCTGATAACAGACCGCATAGATCATGCCATCGAAATGTGCGAAAGACTCTACCATGCCTCTACACAAGTGGGTTTAAAGATCAATAACTCAAAAACACAAGTGATGACAAACCTTGTTCTGAGTGAGAACATCAACATAGCTGGAACAAGTATAGAACAAACATCAGCATACAAATATCTGGGACACGAAATTCGCTTAAGTAGAGATAACCAGACCAATGAACTAATACGTAGAATAGGGTTGACATGGGCAGCTTATGGAAAGCTAAGAGATGTTTTCCAATCAGCTCTTCCCATCTGCTTGAAGAGAAAAGTCTTCGATCAATGTGTGCTGCCGGTTCTAACCTATGGTGCGGAGACGCTAACACTTACTAAGACGTCCGCAAACAAAATTCGAACAACACAGAGGGCAATGGAACGGTCCATGTTGGGATTAACCCTGAGAGACCGAATACCCAACACAGAATTGCGCCGTAGATCGGGAGTAACCGACGCAATCAAAAGAATATCAACCTTAAAATGGAACTGGGCAGGGCACGTCGCGAGAACGAAGGACGGCAGATGGACAAAACGCATTCTTGAGTGGAGACCCAGACAAGATGCCTTTAGGAATAGAGGACGACCACCAACAAGATGGACGGATGACCTGAAACGGACACATCAAAATTGGATGCAGGCGGCTCAGGACAGAAATTTGTGGGGTGAACTACGGGAGGCCTATGTTCAGCAGTGGACGAGTATGGGCTGAATGATGATGAACTCTTACTGAAAACCAATTTATAGCTTTCCTAGAAACTACCTACGGCATACCAAACCCACTTAAAGAAGCTCTCAATTTCACTTCCAATATTAAGATTGCTTAATGATTTATCTCTTTCTACATTCACAAACCAAAGAGAGAGCCTTTAAAAACCGAATAACAAGATTGCAAAAAAAAATTAAAAGACAGTTTAATCCTGAAGACTCTGACAATTTAAGTGCATCATCCGATTACCTAACTAGCCTGGGTACCTGGGCACGGGGGTCATAAGGGGATCGGCTCTCCACCTCTCATTCCTGCCCATTAGTCGCCTCTTACGACAGGCAGGGATAAATTGTCTTGGCCGTATTCTTATCTCCGCGAGCCGAACAGAGAAAGTTGTTATTTTTTTATATTCAATTGTGGATCAATCCCATATAAACATATACCGCCAAACAACTTGGTTATAACAGCTCACTATTTTAAAACAATATTTTTTGAAAAACAACTTCTGGAAAATGAAACGTCAAATAACAATAATTATAAAATGTAATTTCTTGGAAGCATAGCTTTCTTATGGCGGGAAGGCATTGATCGATTCAAAGGATCACGCGGAGTAGCAAACGCAGTCCCATGCGTGTTTCTTAATAAAATAAACTAAAGTTAAAATTAAAATAAAATAAGCGAATCGAATTAAATTAAATTCCGTGCATAACGATCAGAAAGTATGTTCCACTCACTCGGAATGCCAAATCGTTTTTTCATTACAATCAATTGTAGCTCACCTAATCCAATAATAATTTTTGGAATCTTTTAATCTGAGCTCAAAAAATGTTATCATTTTGATAAACCCGGAAAAAACGGGTAAATTTTACGTTTTTTCTTTTTTTTAAGTATAGTTAATGCGAGCCGCACTTTAACCTTATCCATAATGCATTAATTTCAAAGATCATTCCAGAGTAAAGTTCATTTTTTAAAAATAAACTCAATAATCCATGATTTTGCTAAAAATTTAAAGACCTTTGTAGGGTCCCTAACTGACCCGTCACACTGAAAATTTGCATAAGTAATTTTTTTAGGATGAATAATAAATTTCATACAAAGTTTATATAAATAAAAAATTTCAGAGAAATCAAATAGTTCTTCGCTTTATTTACTTGGCGTCGAATTACTAAAACACAAAATTCCGTTTGATAAACTAATATCTAATATTCTAAACTACCCCTCAAAATTAACTGGATAAAAATGTAATTTTGCTGAGAATGTTAATTTTGAGACCCCAAAAAATATATTAAGAAGTTTGCTATTCCTACCACCGGGTGTCCCCTAAAACCGATCGTCGTAGAGGCGAAATAAATTTTTTAATTAAAATTGTATCAATTCGATGGTAAAAATTCGATTCCTTTTGATCAGAGTGTCCTATGGACGAAAATAAATTATTCGTCATTAATTATAATATTAATAATTAATGAATATTATTATGACTTTTAAAGATGAAAAGTGCAGTTTTCATACACAATTTTTGCATTTTGACTAAATAAATACTGACTGAGTAAATAGCAAAAATCGTAAAAACTAGAAAACTTTGAAGAACCATATCTTGCTTAAAATTACTCCTAGAGCCTTTTACAGTAGACCAGTAAAAAGGTAATTAGTCTTTCTTTTAATTGAATGTACCATTACATATACCTAAAACTGCATAGAAATAGTCGTAGAAACATTTTTGCGAAACAATAGTAAAATTACCCAAAAATGTGTGAGTGGCAAACTTTGAAACATCATATCTCGAATACTGTAAACCCCAAAGACTTTTGACAAATGTCATTTTGAAGAGGAAGGATAAAAGTTTTTTCTGCACAACAATGTCTATACCTATACAATCGTGGAAAAAGGTACCAGACATAAAAAAAACCGTGTGTTTCTGTTATTTTTGCTTCGTTTTTTTGGATATACTTTTGTCAAAAAAAATTTTAACTTTAAAAGGTGAAATTTCGATAATAAATTAAATTTTGAACAACTTTTCTGTAGATGTATATGTACGAAAAATGCATAGAATTCACCCAAATGCACCTAGTATAAGGACAAATTCAACCCTTTCTTAAAAATGTACCACTTTAAATGGTAGCACCCTGCGGTTTTTTCATATTTGGGTGTTCATTGACGATATGAAACAATAACCCTTTAAAGTTGTAGTTCCTTTCTAAAGTACATAATCAATAGCCAATTAGAGATGAGAAATGGACTAACAGAAATTACAATCTGGAATATGAAGAACTGTTTGGGGGGCAGTTTTGACCTTTTTCTTCAACTGGAATTCAACACAAATGCAAAAATAAAGGCCTTTTGGTAGAAGAGTTACAATTCTAATGAGAAAATAAATTGATAACTAAAAACTAACTAGATTGGATTTTTCTTAGCAGCAAGCAATTGGGAGTTTTTTTATTTGTCTTGATAGCGAGAAGTAAGGTTTTTCTGCTTGTGTATAAGAGATACAATCTAAAAATGATAATGTATCACCATTTAAATCACTGGAAAGTTCTAAAAAAATAAGTTGAATATTTGCATGATGATGATGATGATGATCGAATATATGAAACATTAAATCTATGACTAACACTGATAATTATTTTGCTATTACAGCATGATGGTTGACAAATGCTAGATACCAGAATGGTACTCAAAAATAAAAAATACTAAATGAAAATTTAATTTAATATACTTACCACATTTAACATATTGAGGACTTCACAAAAGCAGTACCTAAATGTATACATATTGTGTATATATGTACTTCCTAAGAAATTTGCCATTAATTTATCCCTTTCGGTTGGATTCCATTTATCAGAAACAAGTGGCCCTCCTAAAATACAATGAATATTAACAGTAAATTAACAATCTTCTTTTAAAAGGAACAACTTATTTGAGAAGTGCTTAGGTAAAGATAATTCATAATGTCCTGGACCTGACGTAATCGTTTAGTGACGTCGATCTACGAACTAAACAAGGAAATCAGGCATTGCTAAAAACATGCAGTTCTCTTCAGTGCGTTATCGTAGCGAGACAGAGACGAACTAGTTTTTGCGTTAGTGAAATAGCTTTTTATATTTTTATTTTATAACTTATAAACAATCTAAAACTGAAAAAAAAAACGAAAAGTGGCTTAAAAACACACAATTATTTTTGAATTCACCAAAAATTCTATCAATTTCTGATACTTTAGTTTGGGCTTATTTGATTTTAAAACATTGTTTTTAGTTGTTTGAGGGCCTTATCCCAACCTAAAAATGGATTTATACAAAACTGTTTAATAAATTAGGACCACTTTTTGTATGGGCGACCTCTTGAACAATATTCTGCGGTCTTTTATGAAAGTGATTATGCAAAAAATGTCATGCGAATATTTTCCCCAGGGAATTTGAGGTTTTCGTCTCGTATAAACATGTTTTGCTGAATTTACAACCAAAACCCTATTATTTTTCTATCATACATTAATTTGTTATTTATTTATTTGTCCTAGATTTTTTTCAGTTCTTAAAAGGTTTATTTACAAGCCAAATTAGTGCAATGTAAATATTTTACATTTTTACACAGCAATTCTTATCGGCAGTGAAGACGGAAAGTCGTAAATTTTTATTACATCTTTCAATGTGAGATAAAATAAACATGCGATGACTAATTGGAATGTTTAAGATTGGAGAAACATAATATGTCATGTTTATTGGAAATACTTCGACATCATTAGCACATGCAAATCCTACCCTGTCGCCCAATTTCCTATGAAATTAAAATGGTGCATGTTTTTAGGATCCATTTATTTTTTCGGGCATGCGCATTTACGAGGTCCACGAGGTTTTGAAACATTTCTAATAACCTATTAAGGTTGCCAGTTCTGAGCTATAGAAAATGTCACACTGAGAGTGCAGTACGGGTAAGATACGGCAATGCTTTTCTTATGGAGAATAAACGCGCAGGGTTGTCGGTTTTCTCCAGCTGTTGATTGCTCATTGTCTCACAGGACCGGCTTGGATAAAATGCATCTGCCGGCAGTACGAGTAAAATATTTTATATCATGTATACATATACAGTAGAATAAAAAGGCATTGATGAGTTATTGACAACGAAAACTATGAATTTTGCATATAAAAAAACGTCAACATGAGATATACAATTGAATCATATTCATAAGAGTAACATTTGAACACCTCTTTACAAGAACAACATACAATCACTGTAGTTTTAATGTTTTACATAAAATAGAAAAAAACCTTACATAATTTCTAGGAAAGAATTTGGAAACTTGGAAATGATATTATTTATAGATATTATATATAACATTCAAATTTCCAATTCTTTCATAGAAATTAGATTTTTTCTATTGTATGTAAAATATTAAGAATACAGTTATGTTGTTTCTATAAATAGGTCTTCATTTCTTTTGTAAAACTTCTGCCACAAATTACCATCATTAACATAATCACCTAAATATGGCCATAAACTTGTTTGTCATAATTAGTATTTGATAAACTCCAAGCTTTCCCTATTTCACCCCTAACTATCCTAAGGATGGGTAGGGGGTGAAAGTGCTTTTGGAAAACGAAACTACACTTCAAAATTTAGCCCGAGTTTCAACAGAGAGCATGGAGTCCCATAAGTTTAAATCCGGTGAATTATTTAACAGTTGCGCTAAACTCGTAGTGTTAAATGTGTTGTGTTTTTTACAAAATACGGAACAACTTAATGTAAGTACTGCTGTAAGACGTACTTCGTTGATGACTGGTGTTAGCGAAAGAAGCATTTACAATTTCAAAAACGAAAAAGAACAGAGTGGAACGTTGAAATCGCCAAAAAAAAAAAACGTAAAAAACGAGTGTGTCAATCAAATTCTAGAATATTCACATATGACGAGGGTGTAAGAAGTATTCTACGGAGAATTATTCATTGTGAATTTTTCATGAAAAATTTGCCGCCATTCTTAAAGCATATACATAACTTCATACAAGGTAATAGGAATATACAGCCGTTGTCTCTTTCTACTTTATACAGACTTCTGAAAGATATTGGATTTGTTTATAAGAAACGTGGCCGAAAAAGCATCATGGTGGAGCGAGAGAATATTATTCGTTGGCGCCATAATTATTTGAGAACTATACGACGTTTTATGTGGACGAATCGTGGGTTAATGTTGGCCAATCTATAAATTACGAATGGTGCAATACTACGATACAAAACAGTCGTGATGCTTTTCTCAAAGGTTTAAGTACTGGCTTAAAAGCACCTACTAAACGAGGTCCACGATATGTTTTATTGCATGCAGGTTTTTCAGGAGGTTTCCTTCCTGGCACACAGCGTGTTTTTCTGGCAAAGAAAAATGATGGCGACTATCACGATGAAATGGATGCCGCATATTTTGAGTCGTGGTTTAAGGAGACATTAATATCAAATTTACCAAATAATGGTCGCAGAAATGTCATTGTAATGGACAATGCATCGTACCACTCCCGTTAAGAGAGATTCCCTAACAATTCCTGGAATAAAGCTGCAATCAAGGAATGGCTAGTGGAAAAAGACATTTTTTTCGAGGAGTGTTATTTGAAATCCGAGCTATTAGAAGCAGCGCGTGCTTTTAAAGATCAATACGATAAGTATCATCTTGATGAGTATGCTTCACAACATAATGTTTATATTTTAAGGCTTCCTCCATATCACTGCGAATTGAATCCTATAGAAATGGCGTGGAACCAAGTTAAGCGATATGTAGGTACCCATAATACCACTTTTAAAAACGACGAGGTACGCCAGTTGATCGACGACGGTTTCGCACGCGTCACAGAGCAAAATTGGCGCAATTATGTCACTCATGTTGTTGAGAAAACGGAAACTGAGATGTGGACTGCGGACAACCTGCAAGATGACATAGACCAATTGATAATACACGCGAACACAGGGGAGAGTAGCGAAAGCGAATCCGACATCTCGGATGTAGAGGACGACTTTAGTATAATTAATTGAATATATGTGAGTAATCTCGATTATTTTACACTGTATAACCAATAAAATGCATTTACCAGTCCAATCAGAGTATGGGCTTTTCGGATATGGGGCTGGGTGCACGGAAATCGAGTTCCCGGAGGTTCCACCCTGTATATTTATAGCTATCAAGAAATGTAATTTAAAATATATTTGTTAGTTTAATAAAGTATAAATATATATAATGTTAAATAACTTACACTATAAACCTTATACCTGCTCATCTGGTCAAGTGTGGGCAAGGAAAACCATTATCCCATATGGAATAACACAAGGTTTCGCTGAAAACTACCAGGTTGCTATGCCAAGGAACTAGGTAAACTTATGTTGTGTGTAAAAAATGCGAGACTGCATTATGTTTTAACAAGGACAAAAACTGCACTTCAGATTTCCACAAAAAAAAATTTCATAGTAGGTGTTAAAATTTCGCAGTGATTCAAGTGCGCAACTTGTTTTTTTAATAACATCGCCGGGATTAAAAAATGTGCAAAGCTTTTTCGATATTCCCGTTCCTGATAATTTTTCACATATTTACAAAAGAAAAAGTTTTTCTTGGATATTGGGCTGGGTGCACGGAAATCGAGTTCCCGAAGGTTCCACCCAGTATATTTATAGCTATCAAGAAATGTAATTTAAAATACATTTGTTAGTTTAATAAAGTAAACAGTTTTATAATAAAATTCTCGCTAAAAACTTAAGGCCTTTTTATTCAAATTCATGCCTCTTATTTGGCTACTTGAAGGCAATTATTTTATCAATATATTATTTTATAATAAATAACAGAGCCGGCATAGAGATCTGGGTACGGTTCTGTGACTACCACTTGGAACTGTTTGTATCGCCAAGCACAAGGCGTGAAATCCGGCAATTGTGCATTCCTATATTAGCTGTACTGCACTCTCAGTGTGACATTTTCTATAGACTGTATCATGTATCCATTTCTAAATTTTGTTCTAGTCTTTCTTACATAATTTATTCTAGTAATATGCAGGATCTGTTTATAAAATAGAATTTGGTTAATTGTTAAGATTTTTGGGTTAAATATTTATATTTTTTTATTATAACATAGAATAAATTTTGGGTTTCTCTTTGATATTTCCACACCCCTTTTACTAACTATCCAGTGTGATAAAGATATTTATATTACCTAACACAAATTTCTTGTACTTTTTCACAAAAGCACTTCAGAACTATGTGCACCAAACCAAAATACACAATAAAGACAAAAGTTCAATTCTCATTGGCCATTAGTTCCTAATATTCCTTGTACTCCTTGTTGTGTTTAAATATTTCTTTAACATAGCAGGGACACTGCTTATTTCTAAATTTCACCTAATGAAAATACTGTTTTTGGGTGTTTTTAAGGTTTGTTAATATCAATAAATAAAAGGATAATCACAGAAGGTTGTGAAATAGAAAATGGCTTGCAACTGGGCTAATAATAAACACAATTCTTCTGATGAAAAAAAAAAACACTCAAAAATGATATCCAAACTCAAAATATATATGAAATTGGCATATCTGTTACTTAGTACATTATAAATTTTGAAAATGCTATTAGGGATTAAATACTTATATAAACAGTGTGTGTCTTTTACAATCTGCTGATAAATACAGATAGAAATAAAAGAGCTATTGGGAAACCAGAATATTTGATGAACTAAAATTATAGTTATATAAAAATATACTTATGACATTACTAAATAGGTAAAGATATGCATATTAATTTATTTATTTACTATCTTACCAAACTCTCCTACAAGTTCTTTCAGCCTTCCTGCTTCACAAGCTTTCCATAAATATCTGGGCAAATAAAAAAGAACTGCTTGGAATCCAAAAATTAGACAAATCCATTGGTAATAAGTTTGACGAGACGTAGGGCTATCTTTCCCGTGAGGCTCATTTGCTTTGGAACTAATTAGTCCCAAACCAGGTACACGGGAATCTAGAACAAAACGCATAATATTAAATTATTAATTTGTAAACTCGGATTTTAGCAAGTATTTATTATTAGTTTTAAATAAAGTACAGTTTTTGTATTTATATGAATTTTGATAACCAAGTATTAGTTCACTAAACATCATCGCTTTCCAACTTACCACCTAAATTTTCTTCCACAATAAAAGTTCCATGTATCCAACAAAATGTATCTATAATGTCTTTTCTTTGTTCTACATCGCAATCAATGGGTTCTCCAAAATACTGTTTGCTTGTTAATAATATGGAGAACCCCGCTAACAACATTACAGTAATTTTATAATGTAACTTAAATACATTATTGTCGGTATGAACAGTTCCTAATTTAATCAAAGTCTGAATACTTCTGAAAATATCAATCATTTTGAAAAACTGATTGCAGCAGTAGTATTAAACTCAACTCCGGAATTCATATAAAAATTAAGGAAAAAAATATTCACAGAAGTAACTAAAAAAAAACGTTAAGATTAAAATCAAATCAAAATTTACATCAACTTGCCTACTTCTCTTCTGCTTTTTTAACTGTATGGATCACAGATCACCTACCTGTTATTAGTGGTCTGTGGTATGGATTTTCTTATCTTCTTCTTTCCGATTGAGGATACCTACAATCTACAATAGTTAGTCTACGGATTACCAACACGTGAAAATACCTTTAGAAAATGACACACTTTTAGTTTTAAAATTCCATTTGATTTTGATTGGGGGCAGTGCAATCGTTTAAAAGTACTTCAACCTCAATTTTGTTTACATGTTTGTTTTTATCAATTCTATTGTGTAGTTTTAGTAGTTATCAAGTAAAATAATTATTTTTAAACCTAGTTGTAGATGCAAAGTCCCCGCTATCTTCTATGTACATAACTTTCATTAATTGCATAATTCATGATTCATTTATATCGCACTTTTTCCAAGAACAAAATGACCTTGTTGCGTTTATTCAACTGATCTAATAAAACATTTCAATTGAAATTTATTGATAGTAATACACAATTGTTCTTGAGTTTAATTTCATTTACATTAAACATTCTATCGTGATGTACTCGCTATGGGGGCATGCTTAACATTAGAACGTGAGGAAGGAAAAGCAAGAAAAAGAAGTGAAGAAATTGATAGACAACTGGGAGAATTCGCTAAACAGCAGAATAATGTTATCAAAATATTACTTTTGGGTGAGTTTAAAAAATATATATTTTTTAATTGTACTGTAGTTACATAAGCTTCTTTAATTTAATGTTGAACATTAAATCACTTAAGTAATAGAATTAATTATTTAAACATTGAAGATAAGTGTTACATTTTTTATTTGTAAAAAAGTATAATATACAAAATACAATTTAGGTACTATATAAGCATGATTTTTGTAGCAATATCTCCTCTTGGGTGAAACTAAATTCGGAACTGCTCCTGTAGACTTGAGAACTGTTATCAATGCCTTGATTAAAAAAAAAACTTGTTTTCTTCTACTAGAGCTTATATTCTGTTTTCATTGTGTACCTTTCTAACCATTTATATGTTTAAAAATACTTTTTTTTTTCAATTCCCTACTTCCTTAACAATTTGAATCCCTCTTGGTTTAGCATATTCTGGATATCATCTGGGCATGCACATTTTATTATTCACTACATAATTGTGTTAATTTACTAACTATTTTAACTTTACTTTATATTAATTGATTGCAGGTGCTGGAGAAAGTGGGAAAAGTACCCTAGTAAAACAAATGAAAATAATCCACACAGATGGATTCACACACGCCGAATTGAGCAGCTTTAGACCTACAGTACTAGACAATCTTTTGGCTTCCATGAAATATGTTCTAGTTGGTATGGGTATACTGAGGATTAACCTGGAACACCAAAGAAATAAAGCTCATGCTGAAAATGTTTTGCTGGCCAAGAGTTGCTTTGATATGAGCTTTACAATATTGCCTGATGTGGCAGCTTCCCTTCAAGCCCTTTGGTCTGATAGAGGTGTGAGATTGGCTGTGGCAAGGGGTTATGATTATGAGTTAAATGATTCAGCTCTCTAGTAAGTGGTACAAATTGATATTTCATTAATATTTATCATTTTGTTAGTTTGATAGTTGTCACATCACAAACTATGCAAATTAAAAAAAAAAAAAATTAAAAACCAGTGATCAGAACAATATTTGGTCTATATAAAGAACTCATGTGTTGGACTCTGTGATTCTACCTTTTTCCATATTTTCTTCATTTGCTTAAGTCTGACTTTTCTTCTGCAAATTAACAAATTGCTGATTTCTCTGTTTGAAAACTACATATTTTTTAACATTGTATATTTTAGTCTAATTTTAAAATACTTACATTTTAAAAGGTGAACAAAAATGAAAACTAATCATATTTTAGTTATTATAATTGTAGTATGTTAGGTAGGTATTAAGTATGTACCAATTGCTTTAAACATGCAGTAGAACCTTGATTATTGTAAGTAATTTGTGTAAAACCTCACATCACCTCAAAAAAAACTCATACTGGGCAAATAAATGCTGTGAATAGTTTTTATTTTTATAAATATATAATGTTCAAAAAAATTATGTTTGACATTTATATTTTTCACCAAATGAGAAGTAACTAGCTATCTGCAGGATGCCTTGGACCATGTACATATAAACACAGATGCAGCAGTTTTCGCTGTTATTAAACTTTGAGGATGGAACATGGCATTCTTCCCGAAGGAAGAATATAGAAACTTTGTATTCTGTAGACTTTTCTACCACTGAAAAAATATGGCAAAGTCAGTATTGGATTCTTTTGGAGAAGTCTCTAGTTCTAAATATATTGGAAGGACCAACAAAATAGAAATGGTTATTGACACAGGTGATGCTAAACTATTTAAGAAAAGACAATATCCTTTGTAAGAAAAGACAATATCCTTTGTCCCCATATATGAATAAAATACTACATGAATAGTTAGATGAAATGTTAAGATTAGGAGTAATTGAACCTGCACAATCCACTAGGTCAAGTCCAGTATTGTTAGTTAAAAAGAAGTCAGGAGAGTATAGGTTTTGTTTTGATGGTCATTTATTGAATGAAGTTACAGTTCATGATAGTTATCCCTTGCCCCAGATAGGTAGAATTCTGTCATTGCTTAGAGGAGCTAAATGCATTAGCTCTATTGATTTGAGAAAAGAATTTTGGCAGATCCTCCTTCAACCTGACTCAAGGAAAAAGACAGCCTTCAATATTTCATGTAGAGGTTCTTTTCAATTCACTTTTGTTCCCTTTGGTTTGTGCAATAGTGCACAGATTCAACAAAGACTTGATGCTATTTTTGGACCTGAATTCGAGCCCTACATATTTCGTTATTTGGATGACATTATAGTATGTACTGCAACATTTGAGAAACACATTGAGTTGTTAAAGATTATTAAAGAGAAGCTTAATGAAGCAAACTTGACCATCAATTTTGAAAAGTGTGATTTTTTTAAGTCAGAGTGAAAGTATCTTGATTATGTACTTAGTTGGTAATAATTCTTTAAAGGCAGATCCAGTAAATACTTAAGTAAGAAATCTATACCATCTATTTTTCTCTTTTTTAATGTTTTTATTTTGTTACTGTTATAGGCTTCATTTTGTCTTATGTATCTAATTTCTAACAGTAAAATAAATTAAAGTACAAAACATTAATTTGAGAGAGTTAAGCACTTCTAATATCTAGGATTAATAGTAAGCAGAAGTAACAAGAAAAATTAACAAATGATAGGCTCTCTATAGAGGTAATAAATACTTGGCATGTGCATACAGAACAGTCTGCCAGGGCACTGGGAGTTATCAACGGGTGTATTCCAATACATGTGCTAGTGAAGGAAAGAGGAAGAATATACTAGAGAGAAGAAATGAAGACATAGCAACAGAACTTTTAAAAAACGAAGAAAGGGAGAGGTCCATAATGGTATGGCAAGAGGAATGGGATGGGATAAGAAGAGTGGTGCAGTAGATGAAGTTGCTGATTCCTAATCTGGGAAGACAGATAGACTGTGGGCATTGGTGTTTGGATTACTTCCTGATGCAGATGTTAACAGGACATGGTTGCTTCAGGGCATACTTTACAGATTTGGAAAGGCAGAAATTGACAAATGCCTGTACTGTGAAATATTGGACACTGTCTGACACACTCTATTGGTATGTGATAGATGGATAGACCAGAGGAGACTGATTGAGAGAGAGCTAGGAAGTAGGGTGCAATCAGTCATGGAATTGGTGGAGGAGATGCTTAGCTCGTCAGGAAGGTGGAGAGCAGTTCAAAGAGAACATTGGAGAGAACAAAACAAGAAGAAAGACGATCCAAAGGGAGGCAGACCCTGCCTAAAACAATTGGTTTTAGATATCGTGTCTTATAGTCTATAGACCAGCTAGGTCACCATGGCCATTTCAATTCTGATAAATCCACCCAAGTTTTTTTATGTATTTTTGGCTTCTGACTGGGAATTTCGAGGGTAGATTTTGATTTGAGTGGTCAAAGAATTGTTATAAACAATTTAATTCTTTAGAAGGCTCCAGCTGCTAAACTAAAAGAGATAGAAAAACAGTTTTCAAATAAAAGTTTTTACTTAAAAAAACAGTGCAAGATTGTCTCACAAAGACAGGTTATGCGCGGGAACCGCTCTATATAAAATATAGTTAATATTATGTACATTTTTATCATTTTTGAAGATCCTAATACAATTTTCTTATACAATTCTTATAATTAAATCAACATAAAGTAGATTCCTTTATATTTACAAGTTTTCATTACATTTGTTTCTACAACAAAAACACTTTTGGCATTATGAATAATACAATCGATCATCAAAAATGTTGCATATACAACAGTCAGTGTTCTTCACAGTTTTCTTTTTTCAGGAAGTTCTAGTTGATAAGGTTTTGCAAGTACTGAAATAATCACTTCTTCAGTTTGTAGTGAGTATTTTCCATCCTTTGGTGTAAAAATTTTGATAAGGTATTTCGCAAATGTTTTGACTTGTTCTAGTGGACTTTTCACACTCATTCTCCTGTTTTTGTTCTTAGTAGTGGGATTGTACAGATCTGTCTTCATGAGGTCCTTGTAGCCTTTCATAACGAGTAGTCAGTAGCTTACTGATGTATCTAGTTTTTGTAAGATTCCTGAAAAGTTGCATGTTTTTCTGTCATTATCAGTGTTTTCAGTTCTCTTTGTGCTTTATTGAGGTCTGTTTTACTCTGAAGTGATCTGGCTATTTGCCAGTGTTTACTGAGCCCTCTTTTCTCCATTATTTTTTCGTATATTGTATTGAAACAGTTTTTATTCATATGTAGGTTTGTAGGTAATGGTGTTCAGTTCCATGCTACTTCCTTGTTAAAATGATTTATTGCATGTTTGATCTGTTTATCTGTCTTTACAAAATACTGGGTAAATATTGTCAATAATTGTAGATCTGTCAGCTCTGAAACTTGCCCATTTTTCAATCTGGAAAATATCTGGAATATATATGTTTTATCTTATAACTAAATTTGGAAATATTTGTAACCCTTCAAAAATTTATAAGATCCAGACAAAACTAAATTATTCATTCACTTCTAGTTAATTCTCTTTATCTTATCAATGCAGATTTTTATTAGTTCAATTGATATTTTTCAGATAAATTGTAATCATGGGTTTTCCTTGCAATTATTAATACTTACGTAAACACATTGTATTGTTTAATTATATTGATAGAAGATAACAAATCTTTGTAGAATTGATAAAGGTGTGGCTGTATGAAAGATTGGAAACTATAAATATAAATGTTATCTTTTTGCACCAATTGTATATATTTTTAGAAAATATATCTTTAGTACGAAGACAAACCGCATGGAATGGGAAAACACTTTCGAGAGTGTTAGAAATGAAAATCAAATCCTCCTAGAATGGAAATCCAGATGAATATCATTCTCCGTGAATGGCATTCTTTATAGACATTAGCGAAAGATTGAACATTATTTCTAAAAAAAAAATTTTAACATAATGCAGATTGAAAAATTGACAAGTTTTAGAGATGACAAATTTACAATTGACAATATTTACCCATCGACACAACTAATGAAAAAAAGAAATCCTTCTAATAAAGAAACCCCATATAGTATGTTGTAAAGACAGATAAACAGATTGAACATGCAATAGAAACTTTTAACACAGTTGTACAGGCAGTAGCATGGAACTGAACACTATTACCTACAAACCAACATATGTATAAAATCTGCTCCAATACAATATACAAAAAAATGTGGAAAAAGAGGGCTCAGTAAACAATGGTAAATAGCCAGATCACCTCAGAGTAAAACATACCTCAATAAAGCACAAAGAGAACGGAAAACACTGATAATGACAGAAAAAAATGCAACTTTTCAGGAATCTTACAAAAACTAGATACATCAGTAAGCCACTGACTACTCGTTATGGAATGCTACAAGGACTTCATGAAGGCAGATCTATATAATCCCACTACTAAGAACAAAAACAGGAAAATGGATGTGAAAGTCCACTAGAATAAGTCAAAACATTTGCGAAATACCTTAACAAAATGTTTACACCACTAGAAGATCCACAAAAACAAGACAGGAGCATTTAAACAGATCAGACAAGATAATTTCTAAGAAAACTGTGAAGAACACTGACTGTAGTAAATGCAGGTAGGTATTAATAAACGTTTTTGATGATCGATTGTTTTATTCATAATGCCAAAAGTGTTTTTGATATAAGGTTGAATGCTCGAATAAATGAACTTTTGAAAAATTAAAAGCAAATATCGAGCACAATTTTAATACTCAAATCTTGCCCAAGTACTTTCGAAAGTACTTTCAAGTACTTTAGAAAGCTACAGCATCATCAGGGGCATTTCGTCAAATTTGGGCTATCCAGCAAGCGTAGAATGCAATAAACATGAAATTGTACATAACACTGCACTAAAACAAGGAGACAAACAGTTTAAAATTATTTAAAAATTATTCTACGCTCTGACATATGATGACATGTCACATGTCACCTTAGCATTTCCGTTTTAGTGTAGTGTTATGTACAATTTATGTTCAATCTAAGTATCTCCTCCACCAGTTTCCGTGACTGATAGCATCCTACTTCCTAGCTCTCTCTTAAGCAGGCTCCTCTCACCTATCCATCTATCGTATACCAATAGAGTGTGTGAGACAGTAAGTACAGGCATTTGTCAAATTCTGGCTTTCCTGTGAGCATCTGCGTCAGGAAGTAATTCAAACGCCGATGCCCGAAGTATATCAATCTTCTCAGATTAGAAATTAGCGACTTCGTCCAATGCGCCACCCTTCTCATCTCATCCCATTCCTCTTGCCACACCATTATGGACCTCTCCCTTTCTTCGTTTTTTTAAACGTTCTGTTGCTATGTGTTCATTTCTTCTCTCGTATATTCTTCCTCTTTCCTTTACTAGCACGTGTATCGGAATACATCCGGTGATAACTCCCAGCGGCCCAGCAGACTGTTCTGTATGCACATGCTACCCTCAATAGACTCTTCCTATCTGCTCGGACGAGCTGCTTTCTGTACGCCTTTGTTAAAACTGCAGTATCCAGACAGGCGCAGCATAGAGGACGATCAATTGCACAGAATGGAGAGCCTTATCCTCTCAGTTTAGGCCCTTCGATGTTGGGCAGGATCCTCCCAACGTGGTGCATCTCACCGCAGCTCTTTGAGTCACCACCTTTACGTGCACCCCCCACCTTTCGTTTTAACTCAGAGTCACACCTAAATAGCTCACGCATTTCTTTGGAACCACTATCTTTTCTGCATATTCGAATGTTATCCCGTCTCTTTTTCTTGGTCCGTTGATAACTATAGCCTCGGTCTTACCCGCAGCCAGTTCTAGGTCATGCATTTTCATCAATTCCTCGACTTGGTCGCATGTTCGCTGTGCACCAAAGATAAGTTTCTTCACTGTCCCGCGCCACTACCTGCATAGCGAGGTCGTCCGCAAATGCGAAAGAGGTTACAGCCTCTCCGTATTGTAGGCTCACAACCTCGTCATATGCCAAGAGACCCTGCGGCACTCCAGCCGTCACGTCAACCACCACTCCTTTTTCTATCACAACCTTCCTCTCTGACAGATAGTCCGAGACCAAATTCATTAAGTACCTAGCGCACCTTCTCTATCGTAAAGTCTTTATTACCTCTTTCCATTTTAATGTATCGAAAGCATTCCGGACGTCAAACAACAGTTGGATCGCCCACCTCTGGTTAACCCCCACCCCGCGCTACACCATCACCGCATCCTCCGTGCTCCTGAAACCGTGCTACATGGTTAATAGCTCGCCTGACTTTTCAATGACTGTGTCTATTCGCCCTCTTACAAGCGTCTCGTATAATTTACCTATGCATGACAGAAGGCAAACTATCCCATCTAGCCCCACCTGGATGGTATCCCATCTTCTGGTGGTATCCCATTACACTGTTTCAAGTATTCAAGTGGAGGTGTCATTTATTTTAGAAGTAGTAAGGTGTAATAATCAAAATTCAATATGCCGACTGTTTACACAACTGCAGAAAGTGTACAAATAATAAAATTGTAATTTGGGGGCCATTTTGTACAATAAACTATTAATTTATTTATTACAGCCTTTTAACATAAGCCAATACCTGTCGAGAAAACTGTATTGGCCATTATTCATCAATTTGAAAGTTTGGCTGTACAGTATCAGATTGCTACCCATCAGATCAACCTCGGGAAAAGAAAATGTGTCTAGAACGGAAAATTAGAGAAACCCAGGTCTGAGGATTGGCAGAAGCGACAGACAAGACATTCATTTTTGTTTATTAATGTTTTGTATTTTGAAACTGATTTCCGAAGGGCAAATCGAAACGTTAAAATAAACTTATTTTAAAGTAAAATTGTGGCTTATTCTCAATCAAAATACTAAGCTGTCATTTAAATGAATTCACCCAAATTTGATTTTTTTGTGATTCGCCCATTTTTCAAATGCGTTAAATTCTTTCCAAATTTTGTATGTACCTCACTGCTTTACTTTTATAGATCAGGAACTGCTTCGTATATAAATGAAGAAGTTTTCCAATGAATCAGTGAAATAGTATTATCCTTTTTTTATAGTATTATGTTGTAATATTATTATATTTGCCTATGTGACACCATCCTAATTCTATCATACATCTTTTCAGTTTATTCGAGAATATGGAACGATTATGTGATCCGAAATATGTGCCAAACCCGACTGATGTTCTCAGAGCTCGTGTGAGGACCCAAGGAATAATAGAAACTCAGTTTCGCATAAACGATATGATAGTTAGTATGTACGATGTTGGCGGACAAAGATCTCAAAGGAGAAAATGGATATATTGCTTTGATGACGTCAGAGCTGTACTGTTTGTTATATCATTAAGCGGATATGATATGACACTCCTTGTAAGTATATCATTGCAGTATAATTTTTATTTTTCTTTAAGTGTCATCTCCGCTAGAAAGGTTTTCTATCATCATGGTAATTTTAAATTTCGTAGTTGCTGCTCAGAAAAGTTTTACTATCCCTCTACTATTTTTGTTTTTAGCTCTTGATTCATGAAACAAAATATAATATTCGTTAGCTCTAAAACTACTCACGGGTCGCACTGACAGTGTGCAGTGTAGCCACGCCATCCCACGCTGTATGAGATTATCTGTACTTTTCCGTTCGATGAGACGGAATGTTGTGAATTCGTTGTATGTCAACGTTGTTTCTGTGTTTTGCGTGTTATATTGAGATGGATAGTGTTGCTAATTTATCGGTGGGATCTAAAAAAAGAGGATCCATCAAAACAAGTGAGAGGGGGCGTTCAAAAATTATGAAGTACAACGATAGTGATCCTCATTTAGTGTTTCTAAAACAGAAGATCAGACAATGTGCACATAATTCGAAAAATCTTCGTTGTGCTATGTTCTAAACTAAGAAGTTGTTGGAGAACTATATCTCCAAACCAATAATTCTATTTTGTATCAAATAATTCTATTTTCGCGTCGGTTACCTAAATAAATCCAGTCTACCTAGACCTTGTTTCTGAGAATGTTAATCCCCGCCCACAGCGCCTACGTGACGATAGACCGGCTTTTCAAAATGCATAAACAAAAAAATATTCCAGCGGGGCGAGGGAGGCGACCAGGTACACCGACAGTGATTTAGCGACTTTCGTAGGGCTAACATCTATATTTCAAAAGTTCGGAGAGGATTCTCCACGTTGCAGTTTACGCAATTGACCGGGAAGCCGTAATATGTGAATAAGTGTTATGGTGTTTTCGCTTTCGTTCGCAAATTGTAATATTCAAATTAAGTTCCTACGATAAGTTACACACTCAAATTTTATAAGCTCTATTTCTTGCCCTTTCTTTTTTCAATTACAGTTTCTTTCTAAACAAGTAATTGTTTTATTTCACTATATCAATTCAACAGGCCAGATAAAAGCAACTTTGAAAGTCCATTTTAGTTTCTCTAAACCGGCACCCTCCAGAAGTAATTGTGTACTTATCCATTTAGTAAATATTGTACCATTCATTTCACCGTGATAATCTGCAGTCAACAATCTGCAAAAAATTGGCGTCTTGTTCAGCCATAATTGTATTGATATTTACATAATCTTATGTACATATATTTTTTAGGAAGATGCTAGCGTTAACCGTTTAGAAGAAAGTTTAAATTTATTTGGACAGATAGTAAACAATCCGTTTTTTCGAGATGCTTCATTTGTTCTCTTTTTGAACAAGTTCGACTTGTTTAGGGAGAAAATTCTGTACTCACATCGGCATCTAAGATTATATTTTCCGGATTATAAAGGTAAGATTAGTTTAGGTTTGTTTTGTTAAGACTTTTAGGCAGAAGTCAGTATAAATAAAAAAATCTTATGGATCTAATTTATAAATGAATAAATTCAAGCTCGATTTGTCTTGCTTAGAATTACATATCAATTCCCGCAAATCTTCAGTACGTTTCACATGTATAAATATTTCGATTTGAATTCTACAATTTCTTGGTTTAAAATCCATATTCTTGGGATAGAAATAGTGGTTTTACACAAAGTTTACGAACAAAATCTTCTAATTTCCAAAACTCTTACGTCTAAAAGCGGCAGAATTGGAACGAATCTCGATCACTCATACTTATCAACCCAGTCCCTTATCAGTGTTATTTAATAATACTGAGTTTTTGAAATAGTAACAATAAGGTACAAAAGCTAAGAGTGATTACACTTTATTCATGCTTTTTCCGCTAGATGTCGGGTCATGTAAAACTCACAGCTCAGATACTACATTTTTGTACATGTAAGCCTACTAAACATGTAAGTAATTTGCTTAATATATTTGAAAATAAGCTACACATAAACTATATAATGTTTTCTTAATGCTCTTTATAGTACCTACCTTCGTACCTACTGGTAGGAAGTTTTGTTTTTTTCACAATCTTGCCTTACATCTGAATTATAACCCCCTTATACTGTTTTACAACTATTTTTGTAATTCAATGAGATTCTAGGTATACATGTACCTACTGTACATCTTCTTTTTTTCTTTAAATAGGTTTCGTTCCATTAATATCCTTCCAGAATTTCTTGTTATATTTTTCTTATTGAGACAATGTTTTTAGGACCTGATAAGGATGTCGACAGAGGAGCTCTTTTTATTCAGCACAAATTCGTACTACGTAACGGGGATTCGAGGAAAGTTCTGTATCCCCATTTTACAACAGCAACGGATACAGCAAACGTGAGGGTGGTTTTCCAATCGGTCATGGAAATTGTTATATCTGCCAATTTAAGTCATGTTACTCTTTTATAAATTTAATTTGTGTTATTCTGCGTTTTGTGGTTAAAATTAATTCATTTTTAAATACAGAGATAATTTTAAAAGGGAAGATGGTTTAATACATATTATCGAGACACAAATAGTCCAAACCACCAAGGGCACAGTCAATCGAAACGAGTAATTCTTGGTGATGATGCTGTTCTTGGTAGAGTTAACATACATTTAAACAACATATATATATATATATATATATATATATATATATATATATATATATATATATATATTAATTGATTTGGCAACTCAGCATAAGCGATCATGTTTGACATTCGGGTTTCAGTTATTGTTATCTTGTTAAAAAATTAATTCAAGTTCATTATCATTGATCTCTATGTGATATTGAACTATATCAAGAATTAAATTGAAATCTAAACTTATTATATACCTAGAGATTTCTGACCAATATTCAATTCAGTTATTAAAACACGCTACACAAATGTTTTGATGTGTGATCCGTCTCTTTTTATTAAATTATCTCTGGAATATTTTATGAGAAAATATTAAAGTATATGTGAAGTATCTTTTATATGTATGTACCTATCTTAATTAGTACATATACCTGTAAGAAACTGAATGGCAACGTTTGATGTCACAGTATCCAATGCAAATGGAAAAATGAAGTTTCTTTGCAACTTTTTGTCATCACATTTAAAAATACATATTTGGATGACATTTGGTTCCCTATTTTCCTGAAAATCGATTATGCAGTTTGCTTAGTATACTTCACATATTCTTTAAGCACTTAAAAATTTTCAGTCATGACAATATAGACTGATTTTTACTCATTTATTGTTTTATGTGGGGTCAATAAAGTACTTTAGTATAATTTTGATAAGGCTATTTTAAATGAATTTAAGAGTTTTTTATATAATAAATATAATTTACTATTTTATTTTGAAACGAACAAAAAATCTTTGGCGGAGAGCAAGCAAGAAATGTACCGTTTCGAAAACCGATATGTTACATTTTCTTTAAATTTCGTTAATTTTACTAAATTTGGCAGCACCTGGTAGAGCAGTGTAATTTTTGTACAAGCCGCTAAAGGCACCTCCGTAAAAAGTTCCGTTACGTAAAGGGTCCAGATCAGACCGTTATTTATTTCTAAATAATTGAACTCTTTTAAAGGATACCATTAATGACTACCCAAGAATTCTGAATATTTCGGTCAAAATTCGGACACGGTATATAAAAACAGCTACCTTACTTCTTTATTTCGTTGCCATCAAGGTTTGGACGTCGACTATACGTGTGTATTAGACCTCTCTTAGGGTAAAATCCTTTTTGTACCTTTTGTTTCTTCGCATATTTTTTTGTATTTTCCCATCGAATTAGGGTTGTAGTTTTTCCTAATTTGGAGGCAATTTTATCCTGGTATGGAGCCAACTTTCATCCTAGTTTGAAAATTCATTTTTGTCTTAGTTTGGATGCAGGCAACTTGCATCCTAGTATGGAGCATTCTTTTTGTCTTAAGAGAATTTATTTTTAGACCCATTTCTCTTCCTGCCATGTTTACGCAATCTAATAATTCTTGAAGGCCCTGGAGACTATCGCATTAGATAACAGTGTCGTCAACGTATCTAAGATCATTAATTGGTTCATCATTATTTTCACTCCAAAGGTTTTATCTTACAAAGCCTGTTTAAAAAATTATATTCCAGTAGATTTTTAATAACAGCGAGAATAGTTGTATTGCCATACACTTAAAGAATTAATCATTTTGTTCATTTAAAACACCCGCATTATTTACCTACTACTCCTGTCACTGTACACATCGGAAGAAAGGCTTGAGCAATACTTACACAGCAAAGAAATTACTGATAACATCGTAACACAGGCAGCTTGTGGTTTAACATAGTAAGGAGGAATTTCATCTTCGTTGTACAGTGCTTGGAGATCTTCTCTAAATACCAAACTAAATACTGACTAAATACTGGTCACTATTATTTCTTCAACCATAACATAGTAAAGACTTTCTTTGCCTCTAGCTCTTCCTTTTGATTGAACGTAGGACCTCTAATCCATTCCGTAGTCATATTTTATAACTAGATTACATCTGGATATACCTACACCCCCTTTCAAAACGTTAGATGATACCAAACCATTGATTTCATTGTTTGTGAAATCATTTAAAGTTTGTTTTCTTTTTTATCTAATTATAATAATTCCGTAGTATCATTATAATGATTACTATTCTGTCTTACTATAAAATTGGCTTTGGTGTAATTGTATTGGGGATCATTTCGACTTAATGCATTCAAAATGTGAAAGAAAATTTGTGTTTAGATCTTCTGTGTGTAAATACTACGCAACGTAATCCATTGGTTCTCTTTTTTTTTGTTGGGACTTATTAAATATCTTAATCTGTTCTTTAATTTGTTCTGAAAAAACTGATAAATCTGCCACTTTCCTGATAAAGCCGCCATCCGTTTCTTCAACTTAACAGTAATAAATCCAAGCATGGTCTACATATAATCAAAGATCATGGAGGGCGTCATGACAATTTTTCTTCAACTTTTCAATTTTTATAATATTTACTTCACAAGCTTTTGTTCCACCTTAAATACCCATGGTTTCAATATTAACCACAAAATTCTTAAGATTTGATCTCTCTTTTTATCTCAATAAGGATCGGGGCCTACAAATTAGGGTTGAAAGTCTCGGTAGCCGGACCGAGATAAAAAAAGAGGACTCCATACTAGGATCTGGCTTCTAGACTTTTGGCCAAGGAGTAAGTGGCTTCATGAGTTTAACCAATATAAATTTTGATAATGACATCGCAAACTTTAGATAATCCCATCATTAAATTTTCGCTTGTCCACTGCTGAACTCCCTTATAATTTTCCGTCTGTTTCGATTTGATAGCTTCTTTGCAGTCAAGCCAAACCATGCCACTCTGTTTTATTTTTAATTTTGTTTCTTGTTAATGCATTCGTGGATACCTTTTTATTACCTCCTTCATTTCCTTCATTTGTTGGAAATTGTTTCCCAAGTCTTCTGTTTTCAATTTTCCAGGCCGTTGAAATGGCTGGAAACTATAGTACTCTAGGAAACTACGATATATTCCTCCTCTCCTGTATAGCTTCGGCAATCTATTATCACTTCTTACACCAGCAAACATTGTAAAAAAATATCTAATGTAAAAACACGTCTATAACTTAGTATGTGTCATTACTGACTGACTGCTAGACACTAGTTCGACATAACGTCTTGCCAACTGCTAAAAAAGTAAAACTTACTACTTTTAAGAAACACACTAAAACCACAGAATAATAAACAATCAGAATGCCCACTCCGCTTGAAAAAATAAGTACGCGCATCTCGTTCGCGCAGACGGAATCAGCCATGTTTTAGTCGGAATTAGTACTGTTCAGTGACATTTTATCTGGTGTGCATAGATAAATTAACTCGGTTTAATTTATTTACGGCAACTATAGACATAATACGCACTATTTTATTCGTACTTTTAGTTGAAGAATATATTGAATTATTTCAAATGTACATACTAAATTATCAATCTCTAAAAATTTAAATTACAGTTCTGTCGTACCTTGTCACAAATTTCTCAATTCGTGTGTATGTTTCCGTCTAAAACATGGCGTTTCCGTGCTGACAAACTTCAAAGGCGGTATCTGAGAGTGGAGATTCCTGATTGTTATTTATTCTGTGCTAAAACTATTTAGATAGTTAAAGAAAATTAAACTTCGACATAAACAAGTAAAATTTGGTAAGGCTCTTGACAAATTTATTGAGTGTCGATCAAGCTTTTGAATCTGTTTGAAGTGTTGGAACATATCATAAATATTTATATATGATCATTTAAAATAGCCAAAAAGAGACCCCACAATAGCTATTTTTATTGTATTTATAGCCAATAAGCGGCAGCATACAATTCTTGCCACGCTTTAAATTTTTGCCATAATTTTTGGTCTCATTATGATGATTATTTTCGGTATTTATTGAAATTAGACTTTTTGTGTATATATTTTTTGTTTAGCTGTGATTTTTCAAAACATCGTTTTTTGCTGTTTTGTTAGTACTTGTCGGATATCTGGCTTTTTGTTTATTTTTAAGGCATTACTAACCTCGTGATCTCCTTGTATGTGTTCCCGCAACTAACACGAACAATCTAGAATGATTTAGTCTTAGTTTAAACAGGTTAGAAGAAGAAAATACGATGTTCTTCGTTTTATTGCTTTATATGTTTCTAAAATGTATAAAAAGTATGAAATTTCACCCTTGACTTTATATTATGAACATTAATTTCACAATAAAATTATTAAGAAGAAAAGCTCAATATCCTTATTCTTTAATTTGCAGAGAAAGTGAAGATTGTAGTTTGAAATTTTCAATTAACTAATAAGTTTTGTATATTTTTGACTCCTTTTTCCTTGTACTAATAAGTCTCCAGTTAGTTATAATTTTCAATTTTAGTTCAATTATATTTCTGTATGGTATCAAGTTCATATGAAACCATTAAGTTTGTATCGCCAAACGCTTCAAAATTTGCATACAGTTAATTCGCTCTGACATTAAAAGGTATAGTAAAAAGTTCTCGATGTACCCCATGTGTCCCAACTGAAATTAGGGTCAAAAACTTATTATTTTGACACACTAGTAACAGTATTAAATTCCAAATGTGAGTTTGTTAAATAAATAGCATTTATTTAGAGCTGAGTATAATATTTACTATTTTTAGTCCAAGATTACAATATTATTCCAACACTCACAATTTTTATTCCACGATTTTAACTGTTATAGTCGCTACTGCGCATGCGAAGAGGGCATGGTTTAGAAGGCTCTCGAGATAGAAAATTTTTCGATGCCCATATATATTAGAAAGATTAATTAAAAATAAAGTTTCGTTCGTAGATTGATTTAGCAAATTTACAATTTAGCAAAAAAGGATCCGTTATTTTGTATGCAAAGTACAATGTAGGAGAAAATGGTCTTCTTTTATTTAAGCGAAACACTAC